ATCGGCAGCTTGCAACCCTGCCGATGGCCGATGGCGCCGATGGTTGCCGATACATCGGCACAGCCATAATATAGACTCTTTCCAGTATTCGCGACATGCCCTCGAGTATTCCCCGTGCTCTTGGGTATTCCAAGCCAGAACTGTTTGCATCGAATAATGACAGAATATATACTCAACCTAAAGCTCTCAGCTTTGTCTCTGCAAGTGAACGGCCCGCAGCATCCATTATCTCAAAGGCGACCGATCCCCGTAGCTTTCTGCCATTCCTTTGAACCCCCACGAGACGACATTTAGATCCTCTTCAATGATTCATCAATGATTCATCCCATCATGAGACACCGTTGGCCGCCTCATGAATCACTGAACGTCCATTTGTAATCGCTCGTTCCTCAAATATTCATCAGCCGTTGCAGGAAAGTAACGGAATTTTTTTTTTTAACTGAAATCATGCTTGATTTCTTTCTCTTCATTGGAAAACGCATTTCATACTTGGAAGTTTTAAAGCCATTTTCAGAATCGACGAATTGATTAACTACATCAGCGGTAATATAAGCCTAAACAGGAATTCATTCATCACAGGTTGATTTTGAACTGTCTTTCGGCTAAACCATCCTAAAAAAAAAAAGTTTTAAAGCTCTTCAAATTTTTTTTTTCTCTCCAATGCAATACCTGCGCCTGCATTTGGTTGCCCTGAAAATCAAGATGCGACGCAAAAATTGAAATGACATCATGCAGCTCACTTGTAATCAAGGCCGTAATTAGGAGGGGGTTCATGGGGTTCAAACCCCCCCCCCCCCCCCCCCCCCCCCCCACACCCGCCCCCCCCCCCCCCCCCCCCCCCCCCCCCCCCGAAATGAAATCCTAGATACGGTCCTGCTTGCAATGCTTGGACGGAACATGAACTTGTTTTGATATTTTCCTTAATACTCAGAATAAGAGAACAAATACATGTCTGGTAGCAAAAAGTAATATCTTTATTTGTAGCACTTTTATTAATAGAGTCGGCTGAAGCCAGAAGTGTCGCACTTTAGATGGGGTTCTTCAGAAGTTTCCTGTATTAGGGTTTCCCGAATGCATCGTAGAGATCTCCGGCTTGCTTGCTTGGCAGGTCAGGAAAGAAAATTCTCTCAGCACCCGTGGCAATATTGCTGGCTTCTCGCGATACTCAGGTTGAGGACCTTTGGGCTGCATTAATGGTCTATTAGTTACGAAATAGTGATAGTTACCATAATTATTGTTGCCCTGAAATTTATCCTAACTAAATACAACCATTTTCAAGATGGTCGATTGATGGCCCTTTGGCATGAGAATATCAGAGGGTCTTTCCTTCGTTTCCAGCGTTTTTCTCATGAACCCTCAACTGACCATGCCATCGAATCATATTTGCACGAGCTCGAACAGATTAACATATATTGGGTTTATCTTCCCTGCTCCTTTTTCAGCATTCTCAAAATGAAAAAATGAAATCTGCCGTATGAGAGTAAAGGAAGTACTGGTTGCTTCATGTGCGCTTTGCAAGCCATATCCCCTTCTTATAAGAAACTGCGAGCCTACCGCTAGCGTGCATTGTTGAGATAAATATCCTTTCGGAATTATATGCACATAAATTACCCTTTATCATAATGGGACAGGAGAGAATCGTGCGCGGGAAGACATAAAATGGAAAGGACATTGCCATTGCAAATCCCAACCAAATCTCAGCAATCCACTGTTAAGCAACAGAGGTGTTTGCAAACTTTCAGCACAGATTCAGCCGTTTTGGAATTGCGTGGCCATTGAAAAAAAAAAACAAAAGGGGAAAAGTGATCCGTTTCTGCCGAGGGAACTTTCCTTCTCCTTCAGGGCAGAGGTGGAAATCTTCACCCCGTAGAGATTTGTCTCGGTGGAAGGAATAAGGGTCTCGGGAAAAAAAAAAAACAGAAGTAGCGATTACTGAGTTAATACCAAAATGTTACTCTTCTCACCGGCCCATGACAGAGGTAAGATCTTGGTAAAAATTCGATAATACACATGTAAATGAGGAGATGACTCTTTTAATTGTTAATTACTATGGAATTAAGGGTTTCGTTTTTAAAATATCGCTTCACTAAAGGTGAAGTTGGGTGTTTTCAGTATGGTTTGCCGAGTTAAAAGTTCTCCAACCTATGGGAAGTCGTGCTATTAACATTTGGCATCGACATAACTTCAGGAGCAGATTTGACATGAGTTTAAAAATTTTTTATGGCAAACTGCAATAATTATTTAAGTGAAAATGAAAACCAGTGCGTAACTCTAGGGCATATGGGGCTGGTGAGACGCCCGCATCTTTCGCGAATGTCTCTCCTCTCCTCCCCCCTCCCTCTCCTCCCCCCTTCCCCCTCCCTCTCCTCTCCTCCCCCCTCCCTCTCCTCCCCTCCCCCCTCCCTCTCCTTCCCCTCCTCCCTTCTCCCCCTCCTCCCTCTCCTCCCGTCCCCTCACCCACTCACCCGCACACCTCATCCACCATCCCCCATACACCCACTTCTTCCTTCCCTTACGGAACGCTGAGCGCGAGATTTCATTCTCACTCGTTGACTCCTTTTTTGCCCAATCTGATCGCATTTGGACCATCTCCTATTGCCTCGTACTCGTTGATTCTCTGAAGCGACAGAAATGTCAGAGAATGAAGGTAACCCGAGAGTCGGACGTTGGCGGAGTAGCTCTCTCCCCATTCTTGTTCCTCTTGGCAATTACGTCATGTCCGACTTGGACATGTAATTTCCAGATCTCTCTCTTCATGTATGACTCACTAACCCTTCCGTTGCTTTCAGTCCGCCTTCCCGAGTCTATCGTCAGACAGCTTCGTAATTACCTTCCGGGTGGTTCATCTGCATGTGATTTGTTCGACGACGCAGTAGATTTAGAGGTGGACTCAAATTCGCGACTGCCGCAGAACAAGAGTTCGATTTCCAATTTTTTTTTCTCATGAAGAATCTGCTGCAATTTGCCATGGTCGGATTCCGTCGAGGGCTGAAGTCTGTCTCTTCCGCTATGTTTTATGGAAGGATAATATCCCATCCGAAGTCACGTGAAGGGGGCATGGCAGGTCGCTGCACGAAGTCCCATCGGCTGCAGAAATACACGGACACTTGCTGCGAAAATGCCTGAAGGTAGAAATGCGAGCCTGGAGACGTTTTGATATCGTTGGAGGGCATCGTCGAAAACAAGCTTCCGAAGAGCTGCGCCATGTCGATCTTGATCGTAGGCAGACCCCGAAATTAGACGCTATTTTTGCTTAGCTCGAAAATCGTTGAAGCTCACTGAAGCTACGCCCTCCGCACGCTTCGATGAATATTTCACTAATCTCCTCTCAGAGATCATTACGACGGCCCGGCGGCTCGGGGAAGACAGGACTCGAATAGGCGTATCACGGAGCATTATTCCGCCCTCACCTCCCCGCTATCATTGGATTTTTTTTCTTGCCTTGGGGAAGAAATGGGTCGATTCGACATGATTCGTATCCGGAATTCCTGCCACACTCTTCAGACTAATGGTCGGTTTTCCGAGACATTGACGGATGGTGCTAATCTGCGTCAGACTCCAATTAACCAAGCAATGAGAGAAACTTTATTCACATACCCTCATCTTCTCGTCCTGATGGGTTCCGAAGCTGTAATTGCACGGAATAGGACAATGAGGACTCTAGACGTTAAGGCGGTCGGGACGCATGGACCGCATGCGATCTGTTTCCCGCGAGATCCCATTAGGGTTCGTTAAGCCAATGCAGACCGCGTCGATTATTGCGTCTCCCCCTTCTTGTGTGTGGCTACTCGTTCCATTACGCGATGTGGCCTTTCTCTGCGGACGTGGGAGACTCCGGCTCCATTCGTTCTGGTTCATTCATCGGAGTATCGAGGGGTGGGCTTGGGGAGATGCGATTTCCGGCAGCGGTTCCTATCGGTGCGAGTGAAAAGCGAGAGAGAGATATCCATATTATATAAATATAGGGTATATATCCATATTATATAAATATAGGGTGAGCCGAGGTCCTTAAACGTCCTGGGCGATCAATGCTTCCCTTCATTTCGTTCCTCTCCTGAATCTCTTCTCGGGGTGATTCTGAAATATTCACGAGCAGCAAATTGCCCCCTTTCTCTTTCACATCACGAAGGACATTCCATACACGGGACCATGTGCCACTCGTCTCTCGGTTTCTCTGTCGTGGCGGAAGAATGGGCAATTTGGTTGCTCTCGCCTCGGAGAGGATGATGACATGAGGAAATGGTCGTGCCTGGGTCTTAAATTCCAGAAGTTATCGGAAGGAAAATGAGGTTTCCAGGACAAGTTAATAAAGAATGAGACTTTTAGGTTTCTTTTTGGGGGGTTATATGTATCCTTCCGTAGCAAACAAAAAGTAATCTCTTTGCAGAAAATAGAGTTTCCAAAAAAAAAAGACAAAAATCTGTTTATACTGCTTATATGCAGCATGAATGTTACAGACAAGAGTTGCCAGAATTTGTTTACATCGTCGGTAGGCTCATTCCGTTCTCGATAACTAAAGGCCACCTCGGCACAGCAGCATATCCTTTTGACCTTCTGGATCCACGGCTATCCGGAAGGGCAAGGACAAACACTGTAACCAAGCGACTGCACGACACGAAATTATGCAGGTCGATCGGGAGCATGCATTTTTCCCCATTACTAGTAAAACACGGAGGCGTCTGTCCTGATTTCTAAAATAAGGCTTATCCATGTCGAACCGTTCGACGTGGATAAGCCGATTTCTGGGAACCTTCTTGGACTTCGTGGGAGACGGATTCCCGTCGGTTTCGGTCGGCTTCTCTGCTCATAAACCTGGAAAATGAACGGATCGTTGTTCATCAATATGGAACTCCCGTGCACTCATTTTCCGGTTCCCTGAGTCTTTCTGCGAGGAGCTTTGTACAACTTGACATAAAGCAACGCGAGCTTTCATATGTTCCTTTGAATATCTCCTAATCGAGATGAGATCGTTTGGATCCCCGGCAGGTGTAGCCGACACGATGGCGGGGTTCCTCAGCAACCTGCAGCAGTACGTGACCAACAGCGTCGCCAGCTTGAATTTGAATCTGAGCCCGCGTCGATTCGGATCGAGCAACACGTCCACCCCCGGGAATCGGGCCCCCCCGCCGCCGCACGTGGCCGCAGCCCAGAAGGCGACCGAGCAGGCACAGCGGATCCGGTTCCTCCAGCAGCAGCAGCCGCCGCAGCCGGGGCAGAAGGTCCAGTTCAATCTGGGAGAGACGAAGGTGAACCTGGTGTCTCCGTTCAGCAAGGCGAGGAAGAATTCCATGTCCGCGTGCGGCAGGGATGCGACACAACAGCTGCAGAGGGAACTCCGGCGAACATCACTGGTCGACTTCCAGCGCTCCAATCACGCGTGAGCCCCCTCTCTCTTCGTGCCTCGAAAATGATCTAGAGGGGAAAGGGAAAAGAAGAAAAAAAAAACTGACGGGACGATGTGCATTGATCTCGAAGCTCTCACTAAATTGCTGCTCCTCCACGGAAGAAAACGTGACGTCTCTATCAGGTTTTAAAGGGGAAGATCTTTGAAAGGGATTTCTTTTTTTGTTGGAAACCTTCGGGGGTCCCAAAGGACATTCTGATTAACGGTACCCGATGCAAAGGAGGGAGGAGGTTGGATTTGGGGATGTTCGGCTTAGTCAGCTTCCCCGAGGTTTTTGAACTCCATCTCGTTTGAATAAAGAGCATCTCTCAATTCCCCAGCTCCCAACGCGAATTTCCGCAAGGAAAAGGCTGAGGGGGTTAGGGGGGTTTGGAGGGGGGGGGGGGGGTGGACCGAAAAGTCCTTCTTTGTTCGTCCGTAGATTATCTCTCATTCTTCTTCCTTCAAGTCCCACAAGGCAGGAGGAAAGCCCCTTTTCCAGGAATATTTCTTTTCTCACTCAATATTGATCGAAAGAAAAATTTTCTAGAGTGAAGCATGAGATTTGGAATGAATTGGGGAGATTCAGATCCCTCGCCTTTCTTGCCACCGTAACCTACTTTATCGGCAAAGGAGGGGATCATTGATTGGACGTGTGCAGGCCGAAGTGTGGACACGGTCGAGACAAAACCCGCCATCAATAAATGAGGGCACCCCTCCCTTCTGGATTTCTTTTTTTCTTCTCCCCCTACGTGCCATATAGGCGACAAAGGTGAGGGGTGCAGGAATGACAATCGTGGGTCCGTCATTTTGCGTGTCGAGGTATAGATTAGCAGGCACTTACCTTGCCACGTTTTGCTTAGAGAACTTGGCCGACATTTGCCGGCAGAACTTGGCAGCTGCCAGGTAATGAATACTGAACTCGCCGAAAATTGCCGACCGGATCCATTGTTTCGTCCGTCAAGGCGAGAAAACCCACGGACAGTAATAGATTACTTTCCCGTTAATTTCCTTCGACAAACATGGTCAAGGAGTGCAGTCTGTTTGGCAGCGTACTTCTTCAGTACGTTGCTAGGCGACTTCCTATTGGGTATAGTTTGGCCGCAAAAGAAACTCGGACCATTATCATCATCATTATCGTCATTATCCTCGCCTGTTTTCAATTACACGCCGGACAGTGGCGAGAGAAAGTACTGCAACACTTCAAAGATTCATCGAGAAAATAAAATAAAAGCTTTTGAGGAATTGCGCGAGCTGGATGAAATTCTTATGAGAGTTCGAAACGCTGTGTCATGAAATCCATGAGTTTCAAGGGCTTAGGATGAGAGCTTAGGATAAGGGCTTAGGATGAGAGTTTAGGATAAGGGCTTAGGATGGATCTGCTCGGAGATAACTCGTCTAACACTTTCAAGAAGGGAGAGACACCTACTAACAGCTCGAAAATAGTCCTCAAAGAAAGTTTCTTGACGAAATGTGGAACAAGAACTCCTAACGATGTGCAGAAGAATCGAGGAAAGTTTCCGGATCATGGGGCGAGGTGATAAGAGAGAAAACTTGCCGTGTGTCGGGTTGCGGCGGGATGGGCATCCCGATTGATCGGCGGCGAGGAAACGTTCGAGCATTTTTTATTATTTATTTATTATTTTTTTTTTAGATATTTTTTTAAATGCTTTCGGGGATGGCGTCAAGGCTTTGAGGCAAACACTCGACGGCAGCGTTGTTGAGAATTGGCTGGAGGAACGGAAAAACGGGATTGGCGTCGTCGGCGGAGCCGGACTCCGTTCGCTCGGCAAGTTTTCTCTGCGTCGTCTCATCCGATGGCCTTGAAACTTTCCCGGATTTTCCCGGATGTCATTAGAAATTGTTTTTTTCGAGATAGGAATATGATTAATCCAACGTCTCTAATCGCTTTCATGGCACTCTGCTATGAGCGGTGTATCAAATTTCTTACAGGTCGATGAACCTGCTGATCGATGAACCTGTTGCTGCTTTTAATTTTAATCATTGTATTTTGCACTACTTTCGCTCGCACAACTTGGTTACGTTGCACATGCAGTACATGTACATGCACATGCACATGCGCAAATGAGCGCACGTGTCCAAGTATCGATTAATTCGGTCTGAGTTAGCCGCATGGTTGTTTGGCATCAAATATTAATATGCGCTTATTTTAATGGCGCCTCTGAAACATTTCCCCATGCAGCTTGATAGCGATGTGCCTGAGGTGTCATCGAGGAAATAATAATCAACTGTTCGCGGGATCCCTTTGCGATCAAATTTGCATAAAATTTGCAAGGGAGAGGAGACGGCGGTCTCTGCAGGAATTCTCCGTCGATAATTTTTTTGCAGCCTTACCTGGAATCCGACCCCGCTGTGGGCCCGCTGTGGGCCCGCTGTGCAAAGCCCAGGGGACTTCATCGATGCGTTCAACGGGGTATTCTATCTATACAATGCTGTTTGCAGAGTCTCATTGCCCCTAATGCCTCTATGGGGATTAGCCTGCTTTGTGAACTTAAACATTTTTAGTCTTCTTTCTTTGAAGGGAAGAAACTTTATATTTGAAGTATATTATCACGTTGACGACCAGCCTATTTTTGCTTGTCCGCCGCGTGGGACCACGCGCATGGTCCCAGAAAACATTTTTCTTGNCCTGGCATCAGGACGCATTGTCGCCAACGTATTATTATTATTTTTTTTTTAGAAGAGAGCTTTGGAATTCCTTCGGAATAAAGACGGCACTTTCCGTGTTCGAAGAATATATTCGCGTTTTTTCTCATTTTCCGTGTAATCTCATTTTAGACATTCGATGTCATCAGTTATTTCCCCGACACTCGCCAAGAGACGTCGTTTCCTCGAGGGTTACCCTTAAGACTCGCCAAAGCGTGGGTGGTTCCAAATATAGGCGATCCGCTTTTGACCTATTTGTGGATCGTTACTTTAACGTTTCCACTCTCGCAGTTGCAGCGACATTCGGCTGCGGCTGTCGACATTCGGCCGTGGTTATCGACGTTCGGCCGTGGTTATCGACGTTCGGCTGGAGATTGATTGAGTTGGCTCACGATTCATGTTAATCTTTGGACGGAGAATATTCGAATGATATATTCATAATAGATGATGAGAAACTCATTACGCCCAGGCCACGAAGAATGAATGAGCCTTTATGAATGGATATTGCCCTGTTAAAGGTCAGGGGTTCGGCGTTGCACAATTGCTGGCACCTGGGAATTTTTTATTTCTTTTACTTTTAACTTTGTATCCTTTTTGGCTCGACGTCATAAATAGAAAAGAAAGTAGTTCGAAACTTGAAACGCCATTCAGATTCTCTGCAGTATTCACCTCTTCGTTCTCGATCCACTTCCCACCGTTAATTTCTCGGCTTTCTCGTTTGTTGAGAGCTTTTCCATCAAGCAGCAAAATCAGAGGCCATACAAAGACAAATGAGTCTCCGACAAGTTCAATTCAATCGACGGCACAATTCCCGGAAACCGACGGCGCAATTGTCATTCCCCCTCACAATAACCCTCCCGGCAATTCCTTGGAGGAAAATCCGTCTGTTTATTTTTTCCTCTAAATAAAACTTTTTTTCCGCTCTAATAAGAGCGGGAAAAATGTATGCGTATTTCCTTAATGACCCTCCGAACTCGTTAATGAGAAATGAGGTATGTTCTATATTCGCCTTCAACTCATCCGATGCCAGTATAAAGTCAATCTTTAAACAGTGAATTGTCCTGAGGAGGACTTCTCATTGATTTGATTAAAAAAGAAGCTAAGAAGCTCTTTCGTCGCCCCCCCCCCTCCCCCTTCCTCGGGGTGGGCCAATCACCAACCATGGAATTTCAGATGAAGCAGCACTGATGCGTTCAGTCGACCTTAGATAGCCTTCCCAGACCTGTGACAGCTGTCATAGTGGGGTAGGAGGGGGGGGAGGGGAGGGGGAGGGGGAATGCTGCTTTCATCCCTGCTCCGTATTCTCCTTTAATGGCCGGGAGAAGTTGGACGCGTCTTGAAAATTTGATGGCTTTTCTTGGGTGAGTGGGGCGGGATCGGCGGATTTCTTCAAGGTTTGGTTGCTACCTGCCGACGTGACGTGATGTCAGAGTGGGTAAGTGCTTTTGCACTTTTTTTGCTTTTGCTCTTCTGCACGTGCGAGTTAATGTGACCGGAAGGTAGAGATTTTCATACCTATGTGAGTGTCACGTTCAGAAATTGGTTTTTAAAATGGCGTGATTTGAACGACCGAGTCAGACTGAAGCTGGCTTGAAAATGGTGTCCCAGGCCGTCTGGGGACACTTCTCCGAGTCAATCTCATAAAGTGTCTAGTTTTTTCTCTCGCTTCCTTCCGATGCGACGATTGGCGACGATTGAATTTCAAATCGCCCAAGATCGAGTTTTCCTGCAGGGTTTTATCGTCGCATGTTCCCTCGAGATGAATTGCAATGCGATCCGCGAAACGCAATCCCGACTTTTAACAGTGCCCGTCACGAAGAAAATGGCTGGAAATGAATTATCTCGAAATTCGGGGCTTCATGGGCGAAAATTCCGGGAAGCCCCTTCAGCGGGGGGCAAAGAGGGGCAGGGGGGGGCAGGGGGTGGATGGAGTTCTTCATGAAGTTATCTTCCAGTCTTTGTCTCTCCCTCTCCCCTCATTTCCGCATTATTGACCTATCCGGACAAAAGATCTCGTGCTCTTGTCCTCCTCCATTCCTTTTTTTCCTTTCCTTCCGTTTTCCTTCCGTGAACGGTACAGAGGCAACTTTGTTCCCAAGGGACGCGTATAAAAAAATAACGGGATGTAATACCCTTCACGAGAGCTCGTCTCGAGCACGAACCTTGCTCTTATGGAAGGTTGTGATCGGTATTCCCATTCTGACAGGTGAAAGGGGTGGCTTTCCCGAAAGGCGAGGAAAGATTTTCGACGAGGGCATGACCTTTCGACATTTTGTGCATTGGTTGCTGGAGCACCCCGTGGAGAGGGGGGGAGGGGGGTCGCGTTGGTGCGTCGAATGGAGCCGACCGATTAGCTTGTCAGGGTTGGGGGGTCATTTTCTCCGAGTTATGAGGGGTATCAACTTTATTTATTCACGATGATGATCCCAAATTCCCTGAAGGTTTCGATCGCCAGATGTACTTTCTTGTGAGGTCGGGTCTTTGAGGAGGGGGGAAGGGAAGTGGGGCAGGGGGAGGGGGAGGGGGGGGGGGGGGATGCAGGTGCTCTCTCTTATGTAAGAGAGGGCCACACGAACGAGTCTAAACTCATTACGGGTTCTTCCGATTCCATGCTGTGCATAATTGAGAAGATCCGTGATTCCCATGTTGACATTTGAGGGCATAGAGGGCATTGAGGGCTGCCCCGCCCTCGATCATCCTAGGAGGGGTCTCTTATCCCTCCATTTTCTCTCTTCTTTTAGTATAGTCTGTCTTTCTAGGAACTCGAGAGGGAAGAGAGAAGCTGCTCTCTCCTTTTTTTGTTCAGAGGATAAAGAGGTCAATCTGTTGATGGGTCGACGGCGAAAAGAGCATTTCATCAGGCTTCGGTCGGTTGGGGAATAAAAGGAAATTTTAAGAGAAAAAAAAAGAGGAAAATAAGAGGCACGCAAGAGCCGAAGCGAATCTTAATGCCGAAGAGTCAAAGAGATGAAAGAGAGCGATATTGAACGTATCTGTGTGTTGCAGTCGTGTATTCCCTCACTTCGATTGACGCATGTCTCCATAGCAACCAGGAAATATCCGAATCGGATCGCACCTCAATTGGTCTCATTTCTCGAAGAACGCGGTCGTGTGCAACGCCACGGGAAAAAGCCGGGAGGTGAAACAAGGAAACACTTTCATGGGACTCGATATTGCCTTCATTCATTGGGTTTAATGACGAAGGGGAGAATTCCTTTCTCGATTCGGTCTCGGTTTAGATTTTCTTTGAATGGGTCGGAGCTCGGGATCGATGAGTTTGGTTTTCATCAGAGTCGAGTACTGCCGGGGGGATCGTTTCGCTGAATGGGAGTCTCTTTTTCGTCCCGATTTGAGCCGCAATCGCGAGGAAGCAACAGGTCGAGATGGACTGGAATGAAATCGAGATTCGGGGCTTGGCTGGTGCCTTGGGTGCGAATTTTTTCTTTTCAATTCCGGTATCGATCTCGAGTTCCTCCGAGGGCTCTTCTCGCTGCATGGGGCGCCACAATCACTTCGCTTCATTTTTCCTTTTTTTTTTAATTTTGTATTTTTTTTTTGGCAGGACGGCAGAAAGCGACGGGAAGTTCTTCGAGGGATTCTCCAGCCTGGCCAGGTCCCAGGAGCAGCGCCACGTGCAGGTCACGAAGCGCGTGGAGGAACTGCGGCAGAAGAGGGTCCGGGAGAACTCCGCCTCCGAGGGCGGCATCCAGCGGTCCTATCAGCTCTCGCCCAAAGAGGTGGGAATTTTTTCCCCCAAGTTTTTTTTTTTTTTTAGGATTCGAGTGGTTTCGTTTTGGAGCTCGGGTAGAGGAACGTTTCAATTTATTACATTTAATGTTGCTCCATATCGATGATTGGCATCGGACTCCCGTGCGACGTCTACCTCCGATTCAAGCATGCACGAATGAATTCACCATGTCATTCCCCTTTCCTCTTTTCATTTCCCCCTTTTCGCTCGGAAATAAAATCCAATTTCCGCAGGAGAGCGGCTCAAAAAGGATCGTTTCGACGGATTTCTCGAGAAATTTATCGAGTGCCATATTTTCCATTGCATTCTTACAGAAGGAACGACTGTACCAAGAAGTCCTCTACACGATCACGCACAAAGTGGGCCGTCACACGTCCAAGTACTCCCAGTACATCGAGGACCTGTACGAGTACGCCCAGGCTGCATTCGGAGTCGCCATGGAGGATCACCGTCGCCTCCTGGCTGCTGCCTCCGAGTCCAAGGTCAGGATTTCTCACGGTCCCTTGGTCCCTTGATCCAAGGTCTCTCGTTGGGGTTGGAAGCATGGGCCTTAGAGTTGACTTATGGGTGATTTATTGGCGCATGATAGCAGATAAAATGCAATATTTATTCGTATTTCTTTGTGAAATTTGATTTTTTTATTTTCTAAGCCTTATCGCCTTCCCAGTTGAAGACCATCACAAAAAATGCATTTTCATTTGCATTTACAGTTAACGACTGCAGTAACTTGAAACTAACCTATATCTTGTCAGTGAGCCCTATTCTATAAGACAAGTTGTTTTAAATGTTAAGCGAAAATTTTAAAATGCAATATCTCAAAGTTAGTTTTTTTAAGTTGTGATGGTCTTGAATTGGGAAGGCGATATGCATAATGAGGCTAAAAGAAAAGGGGGTACCATGAATTCCACACTGATTTCTGCAGATCGTCAGGTACGAGGATGACAACCCTTTTTTGCAAGGGATTTTGCAAGGACTGACCAAAATTAGCATGGTTTCTATTTCCGGTTTGATCGTGACGAATTCATTACACTCTGATGATAGACACGAAACATATTGAATTATTGGTATTTATGCTGGTATCGAACTTATAATAACGTGTAAACACGAAAGGCATTTCGAAGGCGACGCAGGGGAGAGACTGCCCGTACTTCTTGGAGTTCTTGCCCGTTCTTCCATTTGGAGGAACTGTCGTTGACGAAGATAAAATGGAGCAGTCTCCTCGGGAGAACATCTGCATTCGCATTTCGTTACGATCGAGTTTGGTGCAGCTGGGCCTTTTGAATATAGAGCACTGATGACGTCACCTCACGTGACGTCAACAGTGTTGCAGCTTCTTTGAAGGAAGACGTCTAATTGCGAATAAATTGTTTCAAAGTTTGTATTAGTGTATCGGGTATTCCCCAACGGGAACCAACTGGGTACCATGGGGTGTCGATGCCGAACATTGAAGTAATTGGGGGTAGCAAACTCATTTATTCGACAGCAGTCACCCGTGCTCGCCGAGTTGAGATTAAGAGGCATTGCTGATCTCGGGGGAACCTGCTGGCATACGGATCCAGCGTTGAGGAGAGTTAGTCAGTGGTACGAAGTTTTTCTGGTAAATCATCTTCCGTCCGATGCACTGCATGCAGACGCCGAGATGTGTCGGACGCTTTGACGCCTTCCTTCAAGAGAAATTCTAACGCTCCTGGATGAATTGTACCGAGTGGGGCAAGGTGTGGGGTATCTTCGTCGGATGAGAGTGCGTCCTGAGGCGACGTGATTATTGGCGTCAAACGGCCATTGTAGCCGCACCGGCCGACACGATGAGGAGCCTTGCCAGGTATCTTTTTTCTCGAGCCACTGTATGTATGCCCACTTCGGGTGGAAATAAGGAGCACGAATTAGTATCCAAACAAAATCTAGTAGATGCGTGTACACGGTCGGCTTGACGTCTTGACAGCTTACGGAATATGACGATCGCCCGCCGACACGCGATCCCTGTCGGTCGCCGAATAGCCAAACATCACTCTGGCCTTCTCGGGGCCCTCTCATCGACTCTGGCCCCAACGGGAAGAGTGAGATTAGATCAGGGTTCTCGCTTTTGACATTCGGCTGTCGATTGCCGAGACTGACGTGGAGAGTTTCAAGCGAATTCAGAGAATTCAAGTGTTTCGGTGCTTCATCCATTCATTCATGAAATGGCACCGGGTGGAGTGTCTTAGGGATTCAGGCCGCCTACGTCGCTTTCCCACTTTTGCTGTGCTCGCCCTTAATATGATTTTTTTTTTTCATCTAAGAGTGCATTGTTGGTGGATATTGCCTTCCTTCCGCCCTCCGGTCAGTTACGAGACCGAGAAAGGCGAGTAGCCGGTCATACACCAGCTACAATACAGTAGTCAATAACACCATCACAAAAACTAAAGAGTTGGCGCTCCGGAAATGAAAAGAAGTTCTACGGTTTCCCTCCCCCCGGTTCTCCTATTTCTTCCTCTTTTGATCCCCGTCATTTCTCGCCCTTGCGGGGTCTCCAGAGACTCCATCGAGCAGATGTGCGACAGGAGTCCCTGAGAGAGCCCAGCCCCTTCCATCATCCTGCCAGGCGAGAGAGCAATGAAATCCGTTGAAAATCCTCATGCTCTCAGCTCCGCATTCGTCACTATTATCTTCACGGCCGGAAAGCCGCGAGGCTCCTAATGACGAGAAATTTTAATTTTACATTTTTCTCTTTTTTTCCCCTTTCTCAGCCCCCGATCTTGGTGTTGAACGCGGTCGTGCTGGAAGCAGAAGGCCTTGAAGCGAAGGACCCAAACGGTTCGCTCCAGATCTCATTCTACTCGTTTCATCTGTATAATGCATTTTTTCTCATTGAAGAAATCTCATTATCGTACATTAAATGGAGGCGTATCACGATGGTTAAAATAACGGTGTTGCATGTTTCACCATGTCGACTGGAATCGTGCGGAATAAGAAATGCCGAATCAACGCAATATTTGTGGTCAGTGTTTGAATTTCATGACCGCAATTAACTTTCGGTGTCTGGGCAGAATTGTGATAATTTGTGATAATGTGATATTTTTTGCAATTGCCTCGTGACATGGTTGTCGCATATGGTTCGGTGGAATTAATGGAAACACTCTGTATAGCATGGTGTGGCATACCGCTCTGCCATACTGATACAATGTATCAGTGTATCAGTGATACATGCATTTTTATGTGAGCGTATGGAGACCCCATGACATTTCTGCAGGGCCTCGTAATCATCCCGAATCCGCTGGCTGTTGCATGATCGGTAATCTCCACCCGCCATCTATAATAATAATGGGAGGGATGAGCAAACGCAGCGGTAAAGTTAGAGGTAATAATATAAAAAAAAACCTTGGGGAAACGGATCGGGACTCGTACACATCACGCAAGTCTAAGCAATGAGGTCATTATCGATCTATCGGGAGCAGGGTGATGGTGTTGTTATTTAATGTCCGTATTGCATGTATGTATGTATGTGGAATACAGGATTCAGCGACCCTTATTGCATGCTGGGTATAATCCCGGGGGAAGCGTGCATCGGCAACGCCGGGACCCTGGATACCCCGCTGGATGTGTTGCAGGATTCACCCTGCTGGTCTAGGCCTAATTCGCCTGCGAGCCAAGGGATCGTCGCCGCTGTGTCGTCCATGGGTCGGTCACCTCCCTTCCCCCGTTTCCCGTGCGGGATCGAACATCCCATCGCCCTCGATCCTCCCGCCCGAGGGAGGATCGAGGATCCTCCCGCCCGAGTTTCTCGTGCGGAAGAGTGAGATGGTTCCTTGATTGTTTTCAATGAGTTTCTCCACTTTTTCCGATTTCGCTCGAGGCGTTTCCTCGAGAAGTTTGTAATGCAATACTATCGGAGAATTGAGGAACGTAGGGCTTAATCTAAGCAAGTTGATGGGATTTTTGATAACGTACGAAGATCCTCGCTTAATTATTTCTCTTTTCATCGATTTCTTTCCTATTTTTAGACATGCATTAGACACTTTGCAGGAAAGCGGTGGGATGTGAAAACTGACGATCGTTGAGTGTCGATATGTCTTACAGATTCACGTGTTATCATGAATATTATCGCTGGTAATAGGGTAGACAGTGGCGCAGCATGGTTTGGAACGGGGCGGGGCGGGGAGGGGCGGGGAGGGGTGGTGGGAGATAAGCATGTCACGACTATTCAATGTTTCATCTCTGGACGATACGTTATTCATTTCATTTTGTCATTCTGTGCGGAATGAAAGGAAGAAGGTACGGACTACTTCTTGAGCTGCACCTAATTCGGTACTCCGCATCTAGGTACTTTGATGAAATGAGAAATGAAAATGTGTCGTCTTTCTTTGGCAAAAAATGTGGGTAGGTCGAGGTCATGTCCCTTGGTCCCTTTTTTTTTCCCCTCATACCCGCGTCAGCTGTTGCTCTCATTACATAAATCTGGATTTTATCAGCCATGATGGAGCGTTGCAGGCTCCTCCTGGAAATTGCATGCAGGCCGGCTGATTGGCTTATCTGCTCATAACCGGCTCGTCTACCGCGTGAATAAGTGCTCCCAGCCTTCATTTCCTCGAAATTCACCTTAGACCCGATCTCGACTGACTTTCCAAATCGGGAACGTGGAATCTTGTTAGGAACGATGAGAGATGAGAATGATTTTTGTTTCCTGTTGCGTAATAATCGCCATTGACATGCTTTGGAACTGTTTCGCATTCAGAAACTCTGAAAAGTAAAAAATGATGGATTCCAAAGCTAAATTCGAACGAGTCACTTCATACTTCATACACATAGTGGTGATAGTTATAGTGGTAGCAGTAGTCGTTTTGGTAGTGGTAGTAATGGTAGTAGTAGTAGTAGTGGTAGTGGTAGTGGTAGTTGTAGAAGTAGTATGATAATATAGATAGTTCGCAGATGACACTTAATGCTATCATACATATTGGACATTTTTCTCGGATTGCAATAGATGATAGCGTTGATACCTTCGACCGCTTGGGTAGCAGGACGTCTGCACCCCCGTCTACCTCTTGAACCCCAATTCTCACGCTCGTCGAGCTACGACATCGGACATCTCCAAGACTTGGGTGCGCGTATCGATCCCCAACCCTGGCTGCGCCACTCGGAGGGAGCACGTAGAGCGGAATGATTCCTCCCCCTACTTCCTTCTAGTAATGTACCTGTCATTCATAGCCTCCTGGGATTAAGAGAAAAAGGAGGGTAACACGAGCAGACGACGTTATCTATGGGGTATTGCGGGCTGAATTTCTAATTGCCGGGAGGCACGAACACATGTGGGTGGAAGTAGTTCGTGACAGGAATCATTCCGTTCCCTACTGCAGCTCTTTAAAAGCGAAAATATTCCATATTAAAAAGAATATAAATTCTCAGCTCACCATGCTTTTAGTCGAATGTGTTATTCATACTCCTACTTGAAGCGCTTTAAGCAAGCAAGATAGCACTCACTCTTGGCACCGTATGAGAACGTTATCTGATGATAATTCCCCCCTTGACATGAATCCTTATACAGGGTGCCTTAAAACCGCTCCCACAAATTATCATCTGTCTCCAATTCTACTGGTAACGGAGGAATCACAAGTTTTTTTTATATGGTACGATCGGTAACTTTCTGTGAGTCGTGAGTTTATAGGCAATATCTCACTGGATAGGACCAAACTCATGTTGGAATGATAACTATTCATCTTTTTTCCCACCAATAAAAATAATATGATGGAATTTTCTTTCCCCTTTTTAACCCAAGTGTTCAATTCTTCGTTTCTGACTTAAAAGTTTGTCGCTGATTTCTGACTGTTCTCGCTCCAGATATTTCATGAGGTAACGGGATATTCCAACATTAATTCAATGCAGTGGAAGTTGTGGATCCGGCCATGTTCATATCCTTTTTTTCAGTTTCCTGCCTTGCAGTCGGAAAGAAAAAAAAAACTTTCGTTTCCCGTGTTTGGAATCGGCCGTCGATTCGCCTGCTGCTAGTTCTTCCACGTTTTTTTTTAAATATTCATTACTGTATCTCTTTTCCGCCAAACGAGTATCAGACTTTTTCGAAATGATCTTCAATTTTCTCTCGGCCTGCACAATGTATTTTTTTAAGTGACCATCAGAAGAAGCCGTCGGTGCTTACAGTGTGCTTAATTTTCGCGGGGGGAGAGGAAAAAAAACGGACAAGTGTTCGCCAACCCACATTAGAAGGGGGGAAAGAAGGAAATCCTCTCTTAATGATGGGCACCTGGTCAATAATGGTCACCTGGCCAATGATGGGCACCTGGCCAATGATGGTCATGCCGACCAAACTTATAACTCCCTTTTACTACTTCTCATCCTGGAAATGTCGCCAGTTTCGTCTATTCGCCATTTTTCTGGGCTAATTAATCAGCACATGATCCTTCTTGAAAATGGCATGCCCGATTGATCACGGCCAATCTATGTCACGAGAACAGCAAGAAATCCGCGACAATTTGGATGAAGAAGAGCAAGCATGGATTAAAAAAAAAAGCGAAGGATCCTCACATTAATCAGATTGTGACTGATCGAAAAATTCTCCCGAATTTGGTCTAAACAATTCGGCATAATTATCCCAACGTGAGCTAATAATATTCATTACTTCAAAATGTTGCATGTATGCAGATTGCTGGGAATGCACTGCACGTGTGCAAGATATGGTACTGCCTATAATCCGTAAATAAAATCGTTATGTCGATTGCTACCAGCGGAGTTGATAATTAGGGGAGCAGGTTTATTTATTTTTTTAAATAGAAAATCCGGGAATAACCCAGAAGTCTCATATCTGTTTCTACTTATCATCTGCTCGATAAAGCAGGAGCATTTTGCATGCAGGGTACGGTATTGGAAGCGAGCAGATTGGATGGGCTGTAATAAACAGTCACGCAACGAGACAAGTACGGCGCTCTCGCGTCCATGGTCCACCGCTGATAGAACGCATGATCCATTAAACAGGTTTCAGCGATCCGTATTGCATGCTGGGGATCCATCCGACGGGGGGGAGGGAGACCCCTCCGGCATCCCCCCGGGCCCCCACGGAAGCCATCAATGAGGGCAAGTTGGATTCACCCAAGTCGGAGGGAGAGAAGCCCGTTCGCAAGCACAGGTTCTCATATTCTCTTTTTTTTTCTGTTTCTGATAATAGAGTGAAGTTTTGATGGGGTATTCTCTCTTAATTAGAAGAGTTGTGTACTAGTGTACATATGTTTTTTTTTTATTATAGATGTTTTCACTTCTGTGTCCGTCTCCAAAATTCAGTTTCAGTTAGTTTCCACGCTTGCACAGTGTTTCGAATTCCTTCAACCTGTAGCAAAGTACCAGTATAGGCGGTTCTCTTTACCGTTACCTGAACACAATGTGAACAAATTAAATAAAAATATATAATAAAAAAAGTAATTTTCTTGCTCTTGTTTCAAATTTTTTTTGCTAGGATTTAAGTATATGCTTTCATGGTTGGCAAAGAAATGAGAGGAAACAAGACGAACGAGATAACCTCGTCTGAGAGACATCGCGTGCCGGCGATGAAGCAGGAAAAGCGACACGCGTCAACGACCCCACTCCCTTGTCGTTCCAGTTTCCGGTTGAGTTTCAAGCGGCGAACGGGAGCGGTGGAAGGCGGCGGGGGTCGGAGCGGGAAAGGGGGTGGGGCACCGGATTCCACGCCGCCGCCCACGCTGAACAACGCCGTGCCGGCTCGGTTCATCAGGGCGACCTCCGTCCGGTCCAAGACGCTCAACCCGAAGTGGAACGAGAAGTTTCGATTGTGAGTTTGGATTCGTGGAGGCTCCTTGGCTCTCGAGGGGGGCTGGCGTAATGAAGATGTAGGGAGGGAGGGAGGAGAGGTGACTTGCATTTGCTCTCATGATGTGTGGGGGATAATAAGCTTGCATAACCGTAACCATAACAGGCTTTTTTCATCTCTCTCGGGGAATCAAGTTTTCATGTCGTTCTTTTCTCTGCGATGTCACGAACCTTAACGTCATTCCGCGAAGGTATGATGGTTTTCCCTCGGTGCCATTCAGAGCCTTTGTCCCTCTCCCTCTTGGCAGACACGGTCGCGCATTATTCAGGAAAAGCAAAGATGAGGCCTCTGAGGCGATTGGCACAAAGTGTGCACGGTGCACGAAGGGCAGGATGCAAACAGAGTTTTGCGCCATGTGCGCCTCGTTGTTCATCGATTGAGCAAACGGAAATTGTTCGCCAGCCCTGCCTCTTCGATATGCGCAGGGCATATCACATGCGTGGAAAGTTATGGGGGATGAGTTCTCCGCCTCTAATATCCGGAGAGGATTTGTTCTGACAAATCCTGAAAAATATATAGTTCTGAATGATTGATGTGCTTCTAATTCGGAATGATGTTTTTTTCATTATTCGTTCTGAAAGTTCCTTTGGCTTCCCTTTCCCCTCAGCGACATCGACGACATCTCCACCGACCGGTTACACCTGGACATCTGGTAAGAACCTAAGCCCCCTCCACCCCCGCAGACCCACACAAACAAAGTGTAAAAAAAAAAAAATTTTAACGTGTCACAGGGACCACGACGACGAGACCTCGGTCCTCGAAGCCGTGAGCAGCCTGAACAAAGTGCGCGGCGTGAAGGGACTGGGGAGATTCTTCAAAGAGATCGCCCAATCCACTCGAGCCGGGAACAACGACGATTTCCTCGGATGCGTCAACATCACCCTCAAAGTAAGATCTTACGATATGGGCAATGACGAAATTAATTACTCCTCTTTCTCTCAATCTGCATAATGAACTCCCTCTTCCTAATCTCGGCGGAATTGATTGCAGAGCTGAAGTTTGAGGGGCTGAGCCTCGACTTAATTTGCCTCATGCATACGACATTTCATCCGCGAAATATCGAGTTATGAGGAATTACAGTACCTCGTAGTACGAGGGTAATTTGAGGAATCCTGGGATTTCCTATCTCTTGGGACATCAATATCTTAATGGGGATTATTTGTCCTGGAAGGTCATTAGAGGCCTCTCCTACGGAAGCCCTAGTCTCTAAGTAGTCTCGCTTTATGATTGATTCCCCGAAATGGTAATCGGGAGGAAGGGGATTTGAGGCGCTAATGTTGTAGGACTGAGCGAGAAAGAGATGCACCGAAACGTACCTACAATCGAAAGTCTACTAGGAGTGCTGAGTCCCCGCTGAATGTTTTTTTTTTTTAATTCTTGACACAAGGCATCGACGCGGGTGTTCTGATTTTATTAGTCATATGCATATTGAACATGTCCATGAATTTGTGATGCAATGCAAACTCACCTCGGTATCCAAAAAAAAAGAAGCGAAGTCCGCATAAGCCACACCGTGTTTTCCAATGCCTTCCACCCAAGCCATCATCCCCAAGTCTCTCCTTGTTCTTGGAGGCGAGATCCCACGCGATTCTTACTCTTTTTTGCACCGAAGGGTCTTAGGCCATCGGCGAAGGCTTCTTTCCTGATGTTACGCTTTTCCGCCTGCTATGGAGGAAGGAAATTTAACCTCGATGGGATTCGGTAGCTAAAAGGAAAATAAATGGGATCCACCATCCACTGATGGAATCTATTTTTGGAGAAGACATTGGAATTCCATAATTGGAGGATGCAGAGGTATTCCATTTCCCATCCTTTGTGGAGTGGCCTCTCCCCTGAGAAAACGAATCGGGTGTCTCGTGCTAATGTGATCGAAATGATACACGTACGACAAGGTCACCTTCGGGAAGCCTCACCGAAGGTCACCCCCTCGAAAGTAAAGGTCGTCCTTTGCTTCTCTGGGACGTAGGACCTGCCCTCGACGGGGATGGAGAATTGGTATTCATTGATGGGTCGAAGCAATCGGAGCAACGTGCAGGGGAGGATCAAGCTCCGATTGTGGCTCTCCACTCGAGAGGATCGGGGGCTGAGCGAGGAAGATCCCTGGACTGAAGTCACTCAGCATGCCCATCTCATCAGCATCTTCATCTCCCACGAACTGCGACTGCATGCAGTGAGTCTTTTGGGGTGTATGATGGAAGTTTCCGCTGCAGGGTGCATGGATTTTTATCGCATGTCGTGTTTCAAGAGAAACAGATGACGCGAGGGATTTATTATACATCAAAGCGAGTACAAGTTTTCTTTTCTTTCTTCCTGGTTTTGCACTCGAGAGTCCATATTCCAGGGCGTCGCGAGATGAGGAAGAAATGCATTGAAAGTTTTGAAAGTAAGTAGTAAAGTAAGTAGTAAATGCATTGAAAGTAAGTAGTAAGTAAGCTATCCAAACGGAAAACGATTGGTGTCTTTTAAAAATGCAATGGACTCTCTTGAATGCTTGCCTAGGACCGTTATTTTTCCCAGCTCAGAACAGGATATATTCCGAGGAAACGTCAGAGAACTCCTTTTCATTCATGGCTGGGCACAAACTTTATGGAGTAAACAGGAATCTCCTTCCCTCCCTACCTGTTGGAGATGGGAAATGTTTCCTCTCTCTCTCTCTTCGGGATTGATGAGCTCGTTCGCCGCTCCAACTTTTCCCTTCCCATGTGGGAAAGAGTGAAATTCCCTTCTCGTCTCTATTTCGCTCCTGCATTTATGAGCCCTTTGGAGTGAGAGCTCTCATTCTCGTTCCGATATATATAGTCTACATTTTTCTCCCCCCTGCTTCGATCATCCGGGATCGAGGCTGAAAACTTTTTTTGCCCCAATTTCTCGAGTAACCTCCACGGCCTCCAAAACGAGCTTGACTGAGGGGAAAGAGGAAATGGACCCGCACGTAACATGGCAAGATTGGCATCGAGCGAACATCAGTAATCGAATCGAGCCCGTAATTCCATCGACAGAAGAAAAAAAAGACGAATCCGAAATAGATGAACTTCGATCTCTCGTTCTTCTCAGGGGAACTCAGAGTCGTGGCCCGGCGACCTGTCGCAGGAGGCCCTGACGATCCTCCATCAGCACGCGATCCAAGGCGACATAACGGAGGTGCAGCAGGCGCTGTGTCAATGGGTGGCCCACGCCCGGAGGCACCTCTCCGCTCCCCTCAATTACAGCCTCCTTCATCAGCTGCTTATCGACCTCGACAGGCTCTGGGCCGAAGGGCTCAGCATCGAAGAGGTTTCTCGCTTTTCTTTTGGATTATCTCTGTTCTCGAGGCGCTATCACAGGGGGGGGGTCTTCCGCGAGCCTCAGCGAATTTAAAAGCTGGAATAGCTTTCTGATTTGCGGTGACAGAAACAAGACTTAGAAATCATGGACTCTGTCTCTCTCGCTTCCGTTTTATTGACAGTCTCGATTATCTTTCCATTCTTCGTGAAGAGAAGAGAAGAAAATATGAAGAAGCGAAGGATGGTCGTTCTCTTCGTTACCATTCGTGGAAAATGTAAAAATAAGAAAAATCTGTCTGGAGAAACGAAGTTTTATTTTCATAAAGTTTACTTTTGAAATCTCCTGAAAATGTCTAAATATCGTGTGCCATCCCGTTTGTGTACATATGAATGCTGAAAGTTTTTGTCATTACGAAATAGAGAAAGTAAATAAGGTAAAAAACGAAAGTTTTTTACCTTATTTAAAAAACGTCCTGAGACAGAAAAAATTGGCCGGAATCTTGAGCCCCTCATCCCCCAATCGAAGGGGAACGAGAGGGCACAGTCGACTGCGACTCAATCACTGCGACAAGAGTCGCCGGGATTGAGTCGCAGATGGGTCGGACAGAGTCGGGATCTCGTCGAGATTCCTTTCACTTTCAGTTTTTTTTATGTTAACCGGGAATTTCCGGGTTTGCAGGAGCAATTGTTGGCAGACACGTTCAACATCTTCGTGCAACACTGCACCGAAGCCATCCGAAAGATGAGGTACCACTTCCCATCCAACGATCGGGCTGCCCTTTCTCGCCTCGACTTTCTTCTCAGGTCTGTCTCGAATATTCCTTCATGTTATATTCACAGTGAGATCAGAATATATATTGGAGATTCCTTGCACCCTCTGGGAATCAATTTCCATGTAGCCTTATTTTCTTCATGATTACTTTTTTTTTGCCGGAACTCACCTTGAAAAACAGAAGAATATGAAATTTTTTTTTCGGAAGTGATGGGCATTTTTTTTGTTGTTTTCGTTGCAGATGCCTGGCCTTGGCCTGCGAGATGGAGGCGTTCAAGACGGTGTGCCCCTTCGAGCCGGACGTGAGGTCGGAGGTCTCCAGCGTCCTCAAGAAGGGGACGAGGGATTGGTGGGCGATCCGAGCGCTTAAAAGGGTTTACGTTTCGTTTCCGTGAGTCATGGGGAAATTGTGGGCAGGTATCGAATCTTGGATCGGGGCGAGGACGTGAACACTTCGTTGGACGAGGAAGAGGAGCTGGAGCGGATGAACGTGGTCGTGACGCTGTGCAACGCGGATCTGCTCGATGCCGTCCAGTGCTACCATCGGCTCTTCGATCAGTCTGTCTCTTTTAAGTCTTCGAGCGAGGGCCAATTACCATCTCATTTGAGGATGAGGTGGTAATTGGTACTTGTGGTTTGGTTCTCTATAGGAACCTGGAGCTGCAGTTTTTTCCTCTCGTCTATCGTCAACTGGAGAGGCTGGTGAGTCCCTGCTTTATTGCCCTCATGGAGAATCAATACCGTTTGAAGAGAGGAGAGAATCGGGGGAGCAATATTAGGCTTATATATTGGGCTGGGTCCTTCTAGGTCAATGACGACGCGGCGCAGCTCTTCGAGAAGATTCCCGTGAGTTTTTCTTCACTCTCTGCAGTCTGTGGGGCGGATAATGAAGCAGTGATGAAGGTCGATCGTTAAAGGCATGGGGACCATAAAAATGAAGATTAAAACTCTTTATTCCCTGTTCAAGCGGAGCCTTTCGACCAAAGTTTTTAATTTCCAATAATTGCCATACACTTATCGCAAAGTTTCCCTAATTGCAAGAGCCATCTTCGGCAATATTTCTTTAAAAGTCGCTCGAAGAAATAATCGAGCGGTGCTACCACTGACTCTTCGAAAGTCAGTGGAAACACCGTTTCTACTCCTCTTCATCACCGCGAGTAGAAGCCCCGAATGAGCGAAACCGATGACGATGCACAGTGCGAAGGAGACGTGCAGGGGACCCTGGAGGGACTGAGCGCGAGGATGTTGGCGACCGGCCAGTCGTCAGAGGCCCTGCCGGAGGCCCTCACCGTTTCGCCGTCGCTCTTCGATCTCTTCCTCTCCCTTCAGGAGTTCTACAAGTATGGGGCGTTGGTTGCTTTGTCCGGAGCGATTTCTCTTTTAATCGATGTCTGACGAATATTGAAAAAAAATTTCATACTGCATGCATAATTTAAATAGCTTACGAGGGTCGCTCGGAAAGTAATGCACAATCATTTTTTAAACGAAATGTATGCATGATAGGTCCGATTTAAGATTTTCTGCGTAAATGATGAACTTTCCCGCCTAAAATTTACAAGTTTGACAAATATCTGCTGGGCGACACAAGCAGGAGACACGTTCAAAATGACTGCTACACTGAAGGTGGGTGCAGAGAGCAGTAATTTAATTCCTCGGTTGGGAGGGTGTAAAGCCTGCGGAAATCCACTGCCATTGGAAAGTTTCTTGTGGTGATGCCTGCGTTGATGACAGCATTATTTGACGATGGGTGAGTCGCTTCACATCTGGAGAGACGAGGGTTAAAGACAAGGCGCGATCAGGACGACCCATCACTGGCGAGAGCATCAAGAAAGTGGTCGAACGATAGGCGTATCATCACTTGGGTGCTATGCGAATTGATGTTTCGGACCTGGCGCCTTTCGACTACAACCTCTTTGAACCCATGAGTGACGACCACAGGGGACATCACTTTCAGAATGATGAGGACGTGAAGATTACAGTTTGAAGGTGACTTCGTCACCTGGGCGAGAGCTTCTATAGGGATGGAATTCATGCCCTGGTAAAACGTTGGGAAAAGTGCATTACCTGTAATGGTGACGTCGAAAAATAGGTGGTTCATCGCAAAGCCCTGATGGACATTACTTGTTAATTTCATGTAATTATCTTCAATACGGAGTGAGAAAAAAATTAATGTGCATTACTTTCCGAGCGACCCTCGCACATTGTTCGCATAGACCAGTGGTTCCCGACCTGTGAGCCCACTGGTTGCCGTGGGTGTTGGAAATTTTTTTTTGCTTGGCTTATCGAGAGGGCTTGAGGTCCACAATGCTACTTAACTGGGGTATTCGAGGAAAGCTATACCAGGAAACCTCTTCTGAAGAGCTGCATGTGAAGTGCAACACCTCTCACTTCGGCGTACTCTCTAAATAAAAGTGTTTACCAGGAGTATGCAATGTGAGTCAATTTTGATCATAATTGACTCATATTACGTTTTCCTGGTATGCACTTTTATTGAGGGAATATCTATCAAGGAGGAACGTCGTGATCAATATCGTTGCTGCCATGAGGAAGGATATTGCTTTCTGCTACCAGATATATGTATATGTATATACCTTCTCTTATTCTGGGTATTTAAAAAATAAAAATAAAACAAGTTCGGGTCCTGTCTGAGCATTACAATTGAATTGCTTGAGGTCGCTTCAAAATTTGAGCCGCATCTTGATTTTCTGGGCAACCAGAGACAGGTACAGGAATTGCGTTGGAGTGAAAAAAAAATAAAAGAAAAGTTTGAATGCTTAGTTTAAACCTTTCACGAATGAGTCAAGTGCCGTTCCGAAGAGAAGGCTGAGAACCGCTGGTATTGATTATGTGGTGTAATATAGGAGGGGTGTTACCAAAAATAAATGGTTTTATTTATATCTCGGAAATTATACGGCATTGATTTAAAACTTAGGGCATATTATTTATTAATTTGTTGGTACTTGCAGGCGTACTTATGCCGTTATGTTAACATAGCTTCTAAATTGAGAAGGAAGAAAAAGTGTTGAAACTACTTTGTGTCGTTGGATTTCTTTTTGCTGAATGGAATTTCTGGCTCAGAAATTTGCAAAAGGCAAAAGTTGTTCGCAAAAAGGATTGCTAAAGTCGAAAAACAACACGATACACCTCAAGGGATTAAAAAAAAAAAGGGAAATGGCTCATCCACCAGATTAACTCCATCGGATTATCGTTTCTTTGTCTCACTGAAAGCTGCATCACTTCGAGTCGGATGAGTTTAAGGTAAAAAAAAAAAATAAATAAATAAATAAAATTAAAAAAGCGATGAAAGACGCCACGAAAGATTTTATCCGAGGAGGAAATTTTAAATCTCCCAAGACGATGGACTAGTCCCATAGAGAACGGCGATGATACTGTGATCCAGTACATGTTATTAAATAATTGCACCGTACTGTACGTCATTACACGCATAACTTTGATGCAAATAAATATTAAGTGCCATTAATTTTGGTACTCCCCTTGCATTTTGAATAGAATAAAATAAAATTCATTCTCCTTCTCTTTGGTCGGGCAAAAATCAATAACAATCGACTTCCCAGCACATTCCAAGCCTGTCTCCAAGCGCGTTTCTAAGCCAGAAGTCAGAAGGAGTTTTCCCGGTAACAATCGGTTACGTGTCTTACCTCGTGGTTATTTATTTCAGGTACGGGGAGCAGTTGCCGGATAAGAGACCTGAGTGTTCTAATGTCTGTTATACCTGGTTCGTTCCCCTCTTGGACCGATGGATGGCCATTGCCAAGTATCGGGTCAGTTCAGTTCCCTCTTGATCTCAAGAATCAATTGCAAATTTAAATTTACCGGGGTGTCTGCGTGGTTTAACGAAGGTGCTTCGCCGAGTGTTGAAGGCAGTGGAGAAGGAGACCGTCGCGACCGGCACGGAAGATGGAATGATCAAATATCACACTTCTGCTGTGGATGTCGTCACCGCTTTCGAACATGTCAGTTTCCTTTTTTTTTTAGTGGGCCTCCTTTCCTGAAAGGAAAAAGGCTACTTATGGTTCCGCCCTGTCCGTGTGTGTGTGTGTGTGTGTGTGTGTCTGTTAGAGCCGTACCGAGGGGGCTGCGAGCGGGGCACCCGCACAGGGCGCCGATTGTCTGCCAAATCGCTACAAAAAATGAATTAAACTATTTAAAAATTGCAAATTATCCTGAATGTAACTAAATTAAACATAGAAATTAATATGTAATGTATTGTTGGTGCTGGGGAAGCTGGAGAGTTATAGAGGGGGGAAGGGGGCCGCTGGACAGGGCGTCAAATATCCTCAGTGCGGTGTCTGTGTGTCCACACTTGTCAGACGTGTCAGACGATAATTAAGAAAATATTGGCCTGGTCACTGCAGAAATTGGCGAACAGATGGATACAGAGAAGACAGGCTGAGTTCGTTTTGCGGCGAATTTGCACTGAAATTGTCATTTCGTTGCGAATTTTGGCTTTGAAATTCGGTCACCGCGGAGAAGGCATGAATGCCCTTAAGGACCACGATGCGCATGCGCATGCGACCCAGGCCCAGGGCGCCGTGTCAGCAATCAGATCCGTCAGTTCTCGACCAGCCTTCGTGGCGGATGGATCCAACCACGCACAGCCCTCCATCCTCCCATCGTTTCTTGGGCACCGTTGGTCTGTTTCCTAGAAATTCGTGATGGTCGAGGATCGTAAAGAGTCGGCATTTTGTTTAATTAGGCGGTCCCCTTAACTGAAAGGAGGCCCACAACTGGACCTGGCTTGCCCAACTTGCTAAATTCTGCGTTTATGAAGTGCTTTTTCATTCCTTACGTGGGAATTCTCTTTTCCTGCAGGTGAAAAGCTTCTGGAAGCTCCTGTACTGGTCCGATGTGTCCACTTCCTCTGCCTTTCTCTCGAAAGTCGTCGACGTGAGTTCCCGATGGGTTTCTAGTCTTTTTTTTAAGGAGTACTTAACGAGTACTGCTAGGTTTAGGAGTACTTGGGCCGCTTTGACAGAGACTGATGGTTTGCAGGTTTTGACGTGCGGGGCCATATTGTATGCCGACTGCGTCCAGCACCGACTTTATCATCAGCTTTCCACCAACCGAGTCGTGGATCCATCCGAAAAGGTGTGCAAATTTTTTTTGCTTTCTCTTTTTCATCTGTTTCAAATGTGAGAATTTCAGGAGTGGAAAAGAATCCAGGGCTTGAGTGTAAAAATATACCAGGGTGTCAAGAGGAGCCGTGAATCAACATTGATTCAACGTTGGTTCAACGTTCAGATGTTGAATCAACATTGTATCAATGTTGTTTCAATGTTTTAAGCTACAAGGGTTATATAATAAGTATACTACATAACAAGTTAGGGAAGATATTTTCTGATCCTTCGGGGGAATTCTGGAAACTTGATGAATTTACAGTGGATCTTGCACCTGCGAAACATTGTCCATGTTGCAGATCTGCATCGCTTTGAACGATCTGGACCACGTGCACCGGTCGTGGGAGTCGGCCTTGCACGACCTCGACCTGGAGTCGTCCGAGCCCCTGAGTCAGTTCATGGTGGAGTCCGAGTCCCAGTTCTCGCAGCGGTTCGGGCTCATCCTCCAGAACATCATCGAAAAGGTTCCACGGCTCGTTTGTGTCTCGATTGCGAATTTGTGCCGGGTTCGCTGTTGGCCAAAGGGATAGGAAGACAAAACCGTGAAAACGTGGAAAAGGTGTTAGATATGAGATATAAAAAGGCAGTTATGAGAAGAGGCAATTCTCTATGGTGCTCACCGAGATTCAATGTGTCATGAGCAGTCAGAAACACGAAATCTGCATTTTATTGTAAACTATAAGATATGTAAGGTGTAATTTAAGAATTCGTGGTAGAGCTGCAGCTAACGATTCATTAGTTTGATTCATTTTTAAAGAGTAATGGATTGGTAGGAGCAATCTGAGGGTATTTTTTTAGAGCTGGGAATCCTCTCGATTGGAAGTGGGACTCCATGGAGAGCGATCAGGATAACGCAATCAATTCATTAATCGATTAATCACCACCTCACGCAGTGACCGCGCGGTACGACCGCGAACAAGGCACAATGCTCTGGAAAACAAAACCCGGAAACCTGCGCCAAGAATCCGAAGAGGGCCTTCTCCCAATGAAAGGCGAAGGAAATTTCGGAAAATGTTTGAAAATTTTGGAAAAAATCACCAAAGACAACTCTGCATGTCGCAAAAGACTTTTAGGCAACCTGCGACCGTCACGATGAGGATTGCAACCCTTGCCGACATTCTGTAAGACGATCCGCCGTTCTCATTTTGAGGTCCAAACGAATTTTGGAGCGGTTTGTACTAGCTGGAAACATTTATCCAGTTGCTCTTTAAAGGAAACTGATATTCAAACGATTCGAAAAATTGCAGAAGAAGCGCTCTTCTAGCAGCAAGTAGCAAGGTATAAAGTATAAGATAAGTTTATGTGTATATTGGCCATTTTTTATGGCCAAAGTTATGGCCATGATTTCCGTATATCTGCTGCATCTCGGACGGGGGCTCGTCCGCTATGCGACGATCGGTACAAAATGCATCAAGATGGGAAAGGCTTGGGTTTGCCGAGAGGACCTCTGTCGGTGTTGGCAGATTTTTTTTTTTTTTTTACAGAGATTTCCTTTCCGATTCGAAGGGGAAAATGTTAATGGGGAGACGGAAATCTCAGGAGTAAAAAAAAAAAAAAAAACTCGGAAACTCGAGCTGCACTTTCATGATTGCGCCATTGGTGTGTTTGTCACTGTCGTTTTTTTTAATTTTTAATGCAAGGCCACTTGTTAAATATTTTAAAGACCTGAGGTGCTTGAGGAATGTACAACTAAGGAAAGTGTAAACATATGTCTGCCACATTGAATCATTTATGATTATGGATGTGCCGATTATCGCGATAGGGAAATATCGATCGATATCGTTCTTATAGCCGATATGTCAGCGTTAGTTCTCGTCTCAGCGTCACCCCCGAGCCATTTAGCCCAGTCAGAGGGAGGAGACGGGAGGAGACGGGAGGAGACAGGAGGAGACAGGAGGAGACAGGAGGTGTCATCCTTTGACACTCTTTTGCTATTGTGAGGTATTTATATGAAATGGCTGAGGTGTCATCCACCTCGATGGCGTCGCCTCGTGGCTCAGAGGACCGATGTCCCCGGTCTTTTTTCCCGGAAAATGGCGAGGATCGTGAGCATTTCTCAACGTCGTGTTCACGTGCGAATCGCGCTTCTTTCGCTGCGGGTGGGCTCAATAGCGATGAGCGATTCCGATTATGGCCTGAGGGATGGACGATGTGACGATATCGGTCTGTTTGGTCGGCGAAATCGATCCATTTAGAACCCAAGCCGCCTGGGCCTCGTGTCTGTTATTAATCCTGTCTCTGGACTGGTTGTGAAGACTATATCTGTTGATGGTGATCGGGTTTCTTACTGGAAAACCTATGCCTGAGTCGGATTTTCTCTTCAAGAACCTCGTAAAAAAAACGGAAGTGGTTACCTGCTTTCCTTTGAGAATCCTCAGAAATTCCAATTAAAAACCTTTTTCTTAAATCCCTGACCTCGTGGACAATCTTTTTTTTTTCTTCTTAAAAGGCTTCTTCAAAGCATGTGAAATTATTTTCGGCGAAATCAGAACTTCCGCTTCGGCAAGATTGAACTTAGCTTAAAGGCAACCCCCGACTCCTCCCTTCGTTTCCTTGTTTTTCCTCGATCAACCCGGCTTCCCGAGGACTTCATCCGATTTAGACATGAAATTCATTTCCTCTCCTTAATGCCCTTGATTCCGACCGACCCGAGACAATGAAAACGCCGACTCTCCACGTTCCCAGCTGCGACCCGGCCTGGGCAAGAAGATGTTCCACCTGGCATGGTCCCCCGACTCCCTGCCCGCGTCCGAGGCCCTCTACCCGCTGCTGCAATACTTGGACGCCCAACTCACGTGCCTGATACACAAGTTGCTGAAGAGGAGTTCCCTTCGGGTTCTGTCGGCGCTGTGGGACGTGGTTCTGCTCGAACTCACGACTCAGAGCTTTTCCGAGGACCTGCCGGCCTCTCAGGTCTTCATACTATTAAAATAATATTAATATCGATTAATATAAAAATAATCATTGCATGATGATATTGGTTTCATCATCTGTTAAGGTGGAGAACGTGACGGGCTTCCATCGGCGATTATACGACGCCCTGGTCCTTTTGAGGGGATATTTCTCGGCCGGGGGCCTGGGCCTCTCCGAGGCGGAGCTGAAAAGCCCCCGATACTTCGAGACCGAAAAGCTTCTTCAGCTTCAGACGGCCACGACGGAGAACCTGCTCGATCAATGGTACCGGGATCGACTGACCGAGCAGGAGAAGATGGAGACGACGCCCTATGGGATCCTGTACGTCCGAGCCTATTTCCATCACGACAGTCTCACCGTGGAAGTGATAAGGGCGAGGGACATCATCCCGCTGGATCCAAACGGTTTGCTCTATTTTTTTATTTTTTTTGTTTATGTTGTTGCGGTGTGTCCCTGCAGTTGGATTTTCCATCACGAGATAATGAAATTCCAATGCATGATTTAAAATAGGGCTGTGCCGATGTATCGGCTATCACCGGTATCGGCCGCCGGTGTTGCACTATCGGCGTCATCGGCCATCGGCCGGTTTGCAAGCTGCCGATGCCGATGTCTATAAAAGAGAGGCAAAACATATAGGCAAAACCTAAGAAAAAAAGTGAAAGTGTGAACCCGAAAATATCAATCGGATTATGTTTCAGCCCTATTCTAGGAACTGGCGAAGGAAAATAGCGGTAAAGAGCGGGAAATCATAGCCCCTCCTTTTATGCAATGCATTTGCTAGAGATACGTCATTAAGCGGTCTTAACAGCAGCAGCAGGTAGCAAGCTAACCGCTGACGGACCCAGACTGACAGTACTAAACATGGTCTCTATCGTTTTTAAGGGAGAAGTATCACTTGGTTTCCTAATATGCCTATATGAATTAGTATGCAATTTCATGTTATTTCTCAATTTTCAGACAACAATCGGCACCGGCCGATGGTAATGAAATGAAAATCGGCCATCGGTACAGCCCTAATTTAAAATTATATTTGTTTTTTAGCGTGGCCTTACTTTGTAGAATTTTAATATTATTTCTTACATGCTCATGTACCGAGGATAAACTGAAAAACGAGGAAATGATCAACCCTTTAAGGGGGGGGCATAGTACGGTGTATATTGATTCGGGGACGGCAGAGGTCCTTTAAAAACTCTGTTATCGTTGGAAGGAAGGTTGAAGTTCATGCTTATGGGGTAGAGAGCGTAAGGAGTCAACTTTTGGAGTCATCTGTCTGGGGTCGGTATGGCATGTCTCTCTTGCTCCTGGCCCAACCTATCCTTTTTGGGTCTCTCTTGCCTGAGGATGAGTCTTTACGATCTCCCTAGGTCCATGCGGCATACTGCCCTGTAGATGAAGAACTCTCAGGGCATGAAATAAGCATGCCCTCCCTTCCAGATGGGGATAGAGTGTTTATTTACCGGCTACAGGAAGAAGTGACTCCGAAGGTGACTTTAAAGTTTAAAAAAAGGGTGAACTTTATTGTCGCATCGCGCAGTGAAACCCAAAATAAAAAATTGAGCACTCTCAATAAAATGCATATACTCGACTACGCACGCGCACGTGCCTGCCTCCCGCGCAACCCGGACGTGACCCGAGAGACTGACTCCATCCTGTTGGGTTGCCTTTCCGAGTGTTCCACCCTCTTTTCGACTTCGGTTTTCCTATGGCGCTTCCGTCCCTTCGCAAACCAGAATCCGAAAGTTTTGAGATGACTTTTCCTAACCCACCCCCAGGTAAATTCCAAGAGAGAAAGTATTTTTCGCACACCCTGAACAAGCGTCAGACATGCTCCACACAGGGTGCAATGAAAAATGGGCCTTTTCCTAAAGAGATATGAAAGGCGGCCGAAAGGGGAACCCGAAGTTTTATGGCGAGTGCTAATTAACAAAACTCATTAGTTACTCCCACCCAGATGGCCATCGGAGATGTTTGGACGAGGGACATTCACCCTAGATTGCTTCGCCAGTGATAAATCAAATTGTTTCTTCTCATAAAATAAATAAATAAAACAGGACGGAAAGAGCTTGAACATGAAAGCATCATGAAAGCAACATGAAAGTATTTTGAGTCGATCAGCATGCACTACGGACAGGCGATTGTTCCATGTATGTAATTTTGCATGAAATTTGACTGACAGGGTTGAAATTCCGATCTCTATTATACTATTACTACACACGAGAGAACCAAGTATGAAAAAAAGCCAGTCTTTCTATGTCATAATAGTACGATCATGAGATATTTCTTCAAAATACATTCGACCGTTATTGGGGGGATAAGGATTTGGGAATGCTGGCGTTATGAACGCATTTCCTGCATGTCCTTATAGTCGATATCCTGAATCCTTGTGCACGCGGTAGACTCTCAAAGAGTGAAAGGGTTCATAAGATGAGTGTCACTGCCGATGATGACAAATGAGAGCAATTTTGTTGACGAAGGGGAATTTTTGTTTGACAAATGCCCGAGCTTTAATGGCCTGTCCTCACACCCCTCTTTCCTTCAAATTTCATTTTTGGAGTCTTCTATCAACTCGGTTGACAAGTGCTAATCCCTTTTATGGCGGTCCTCCGGCGATCAGGCAATGCCGCTGCACAAGGATTCAGGATACAGACTCTACCCCTTTCTATAGCCTTGTTTCGACTAGGCAGTCTCCAAGGTATTCGGTCTCCTTGGGAATGAGTCATTAATCAAATATGTTCATTAACCTGAGTGTTTCTGGCCCAAGGGGGAACCTTCCTCCCCTTGCTACGAGCCTTCAGGGCATTTAACATCAAGGGACATTTCGACTCATTCCAAGGATTCAGCATGGATGTGTGACGGATGATGGCATTGAGGGGCACGACTGAATGTCCCGGGTTCGGTGGTGTAGTGGTAGCACACCAATCACGAGGCCCGGGTTCAATTCCCGGCCGTTACTGGGCTTCTTTCGGCCTCTCATGTCATTCCGTCTCCACTTTTCCCCACCGTAACAGATGGAAGCACGTTATTTCCTGCGTAATGCTAGACCGGGATTCCGCAGAGTGTGTGGATTCGAAGGGGTCGAGGAGAGCCAAAAACGGAGTGGCTGCTGGCGAGTTACCGCTGGCACGATTGCAATCCCACACTTTCTTGGAAGTTTTCTTTCAAGTCCAATATTTTGTTGTGGACGTTTCGGTCTTCTTTTTTTCGTAGCTCATCAACGAGCCGTTTGTATGCCTTCCTATTTCTCAAAGTTCCATCGAGAAGCGCTTGAATATTTAAGTCTTTGAACAGGAGAAATGCTTTCACGTCCTTTTCACACACCCCCAGATAGAGGGTGAAAGAAGCACTACTGGCCACACCTCACACCAAGGAATGCGGCCTGACCTGTTTCGACCGGCTCGAAACCCAGGTTTGTCACCAAGGAAATTGCCTGGGCTTGGTGACAACGCCTGGGGAAAAATGCACCCTTGGTAGGGCAAAAGGGGTGCGTTTCGACTACACCAAGGATTCCCTTTCCTTGGTGTACTCCAAGGAAAAGACCCCAGTCGAAACAAGGCTTATGAGGGGTAGGAAGTCGACGAGTTCTATCCCCCTTGCCCTCACCCGGGAGAGAGGCCAATCGGGTGAGAAAGAATGCTCCAGGGGAGGCACCTGTGTGTGGAACGGGTCAAGTATGACCTAAACCAGGGGTGCACAGCATTTGACCCGCGGGCCGCATGCGGCCGGCCCTTGCTCCCGGCCGGCCGTGACTCGTGGCGTTGCTACTATGGCTCCTACCCTATTGGCTACAGCTACGGTCAGCCAAACTGCGGCCCGCGGTATGTGAGTAAAAATCGCAAATGGCCCTCACAGACTTTTGAGTTGTGCACCCCTGACCTAGACTCTCCCGACCATGCTCGCTCCATCTCCTGTTCTCCCCGCAATGGTCCATTCTCATTCACTCATAACGGCATCATGAAAATCGGTTGCCCTTGCTTCCCTAATGTTGCCAGCCTCCAGAAATTGCTCCAGAAATTCCTCTGCATGACTTACGTATATTAATCCTGCTCTCTGGAACATTGATCCTCCCGTTGTGTGACAATGGCCCCGCCTTAATTCCAATCTACTTTTGACGATCAGTTCTCATGTCGAGATCAAATTAGTTTTGGTTTTATTTATTATTGTTTTTTATTATTACCGGATTTGATATCGAAGACCCATTTCAGGTCACTTGCCTCGTGAAAATAGCGTCGCCACAACCGCAGTTTGCTGTTCTTAAATTATTCTCTGTACGAGAACGAACCGTGACGACTTCCATAATTTTCGTAGGGTTTAGCGACCCGTTTGTGCAACTGGAGCTGCTGCCGGAGCGGGTGTTCCCCCACTGCCGAATGCAACAGACGCAAGTCCAGAAACGGACTCTCAACCCGGAGTTCGACGAGTACTTCGAATTGTGAGTGGGGGGGGGGGGGATGCCCGTGGGAAATCGATTTCGAGGACAATGGGATGTTGTTAAGGGTTGCACTTCACATTCAATTCATCATGGAACGCGCTCCTCCTGCGCGAATTCATTAAGAAGTTTTTACGTTTTAGAACTCATTAGGAAGTTTTTACGTCTTAGAACTTTATAGATATATTTTAGCATTTAATTTTTGGAAATCGATGCGAGGAATGACCTGGCTCCCGGAAAAAAAAAACTAGAAGCACAAATAATTCCGAATCGGCGTCAATAATAAGTCCCATTTCACGGCAGCTCCGTGAGGAAGGAGCAGTGCCGATGCCCGAACGGGATGATCCTGTTCACGGTGATGGACCACGACGTGCTGACGGCGAACGACTTCGCCGGGGAGGCGCTGCTGCCCCTGTCCCTCATCCCTGGCTCGGGCTCGGCCTCCACCGTCGACAACTTCCACGGGCTCAAGCCCTTCGACCTCCCCCTCTCCTTCGTCTCGAGCAGCAAAGGTCCTTTTTTTTTTCTTTTTTTTTTAGCAAGCTTTTGAAGGAAAATGAGGCGTATGCGATCGGGTGGGTGTCAGAGAGAAGTTTGGTTAAAGTACTAACTTCAGGCTTCACTGAATTTTTATCATAACTCGTGGATGAATGGCTAAAATGAAAACTGGTCCGTCTACAAAAAAAATTCGTTTTTCAAGCTCAGAAGGAATGAGCGAAGAGTCTGTGGACCGATCTCTCAAAGACGAAGTGGCACATGTAGATGGAAAAAATTTGACTTAGGGAAATCCAACAAAACTTCAATCTTTTTTGTAGAGGCCAGTTTTCCATTTCAGCCCTTCATATTGAAGGGCTGAAATGGAAATATAATATAATATATGAACTCGACATGTTTTCTCATGGGAAAAATTAATCCAATCTCATCTCAACAAAGCACAAAACAATTTTGAAAGTCGGAAACCCTCATTCACGAGCATAGAACGGTGTCAGTCGCTTTATTTCCCTGATTTTAATCTCTTACGGCGCAAATGAAATTGCACCCGCTCGCTTTTATTGTCGGCTTCCGCCGGGTTTCATTTCGGTTTGTCGTGATATGAAGCCATTAATTGAAGATTGACGAACCTTAACCTTTGTGCTGGTTGATTTATAGATTGCTTATGTCACGAACCAACTAAATTTTGAGGAATTTTGGCTTCGAGGCAATAATTTAATACTTGAATCGGAACAACGAAACGCCTTTACCCGGTAGGAATGCCGATTACATAATACCCAGCGGATAAGGACGAATCGCGACTTCAAAACATTTCCTATTTCGGACCCTTCGTTTTCTTATGTAGACCATTTCCCTCCTCTATCATCAGATTCCATTCTGCTGAAAGCCCTGGAGCAGAGATCTTTGGACAGATCGGCTCAAGAGTTCGTGAAGAGGCAGAAAGCGAGGATGGAAACGACGGGGAATACATGGAACTGACAGGGAAGAGAAGAAAAAGAAGTATTTTACCTCTATTTCTCTGGAATCCCGATCCTAAAATGCAGGGACCAGCCGGTTTTGTTTGTTTGTTGATGTATCGCTTTTGGCATGTACAGCACCGTTTTGGCCCTGTCCTTTCGCTTTATATGATCTTCTTCTTGAATAAAAAGCGTTTTCATTCTCCATTTCCGGCGGTTATTTATTTTAAAGACGGGACTCGAGAATGGATTTCCGAGCGAATTAAGAGCTTCAAGGTCTCGTGTCGTGACAATTGAAGCAATTGAGGGAATTGAAACCCGGTCAGACGACGACTCCCTTCGATGCTCGAATTGGAAGACAGGGAACTTCACGTCTCATTTCGTTTCCTTTCGGATACGCGTACCACAGAAAAAAACAAAAAAATAATAAAAAAACAAAAACAATGAATGAAAATAAGGAAGAAATGTAGGCAAATTGAGGCCTGGAACCAGTGGCGAGCAACCCGGATCACTATATTTGGCCCTACCAAAATAGGAGACAAATTTTCGCCTTTAGCTAAATCACGGGGCGAAAAATTTTTAGAGACGGAAGTACTGAAAATATCACAATCAACAAGGATAAACGGAATGGAGAGGCAAAGGCGAAACAAATCTGGGGGGAAAAAATCTGAATAAGCGATCGTTCTTTCCTCGTGCCATGCACGTGATAGAAACAGATGCTTGAAGGTGAAGGACATGAGAAGGACATGAGAAGGACATGACAGAATTCTGGTATCGGTAGTTTTCGGATGGGAAGCGCGAATTTCCAATTTGATAAGCGTAGCTTATGCAACTTAGGCGCATTTCTGCGCGTCTTCCGGGTCCCTTTGATGCGTAGAAAGCCGGTGATCCTGCGTACCCGGAAAGGGAAGGGACTCGGGGGAGGGGGGGGAGTCGAAGGAGTCATATTGATAAGAGTCCGAAGATCTTTTGTCCCCCTTCTCAAGTATATAAGGTTGGGGGTCTTCCTCGTTTTCTCAGTCTGAAGACAAGAAGCATTCGCACTGTTCAAGTCTTCTAGCAAGCCACTACTTCAGAAACGGTGAGTCGCCGCACGATTAAAATATCTACATGGTGTTTTTCGCGGTCGATACATCGGTACAGCATTTACATAATACGGTATTTACATATTACAATTACGGTATTTACATATCCTAAGATTAATATCCAGCACGACCCCCGCCATCGCAACGGGCACAACGTCGCAATGGCGTCGAAATCACTCAAGTGACGGAAGGCCATAGCCATCATCCCATCAACGCCGCTTCCTGCCAACCCCATCGACGCCGCTTCTTGTCTTCTCCAGAACAGAAATGGAAGCGAGCCGGATGAGTTGGTGTGCCGTGGTGCTCGGATGGAGCCTCTTCGTCTTGGAGTTCGGAGGGGGAGCGAGGGCGATCCAGCCGGTGAGAAGTCACGAGGAGATTCTGCGCTTGTTGGGGGTCAGGAGGACCGTCATCATAAGAGGTGATTTCCGTCTCGAGATGGATTTGCCTCGAGAGCCCGAAGAGCGAAGTCACCGAGCCCATTTCCGTTTCAGATTGTCCCCCTTGCCACGGCGAATGGGATCCCCTCTGCGGCTCCGACGGGAAGACCTACTACAACGGGCAATGCATGCGAAGCATCTCGTGTCGCCGGGGGAGGGACGTGGGGGTCCTTCACTTCGGGCCTTGCACCTTCGAGCTGGCCGTCTCGGGTCGGTCGCCGAGATCCCCTCAGGAGGTGGATCCCATCGACGATGGTGGGTTTTTCTGGAGAGTTCGCGTTCGATTTCAATTAAATGATACGATATGATATGATTGTTGAGTCTAGATTGCCCGGTGCCGGTGACGTGCGGGGACAAGGCGGAGTTCGTCTGCGCCTCCAACGGGAAGACCTTTCGAAACAGATGCATCATGGAGTCCTGGGCGTGTCACAACAACGAGGTCATTCACGCGGTGCATTCGGGGCCGTGCAGTCGGAACAAGAGGGCCATCGACGAACGTAGGTTTCGTTGGGTCGGATTCTCGGTCGCTGAGCGTCCGTGTTTTCCGCTTTCACCCGTGTTCGTACTTCTAGGTTGTCCGATGTGCTCGAGGGACTACAATCCGGTCTGCGGGAGCGACGGCGTCGAGTACAGCAATCCCTGCATGCTGCGGTACACGGCGTGCACCGAGCATCGTCGCATCAATTTCGCTGCTTGGAGGGAGTGCTGAGATTCTTGGGAGATGATTGGTGAATTTCCTGGGACCACCTTTTTTTCCCTTCAAATTACGCTTCGATGCCGATGGTGTTTTGATTTTTGCTTTTTCGTGGGAATTGTGAGATAAACCAATAAAAACGGTTCATGGGTTACGTGCTCGGAATTATTTACTGCGGTGTCGCGGCGGCTCAAAAGTAAATACTTGATTTAATTTCGATGTTTTGAAAACGTGAAAACGAGAGAACTTTGTGATTTTCCTCACTTTGGGTCTTTCGGATAAAAAAAAAAAAGCCACGATGTCTGTCCTTGACAGTTGAAGCAATACGAATACATCAATTTGCATTTAAATCATTTTCCCAATATGGTCATCCCTGAATAGGTCAAATGGCCAAATTTGTACTTTCGGTACTTGGGCTATTCTATGGAAATTTTAATAGAATCTATGCAATTTCAAATTCAGTGGCGCAACCAGCCATAACGTTTAATAGAGTTTCGGGTAAGTTCTCATGTCTTTAAAAAAATATCTCGAATGCAAAAATTATCACATCATTAGAAGAGATACACTCGCAACAAAAAACGCGAAACGGCGTCGGACGCGCGAGCAAAGAAAATGAACGGAAGAAAAATGCGATGAACTCTAGATGAAACCAGATTAGATAGTGAAAAAAGCTTTAAATTGATTATATTAATTTCGGGATTCGGTCCAAATTTCACTGGGCGGATAAGCAACTGGAAATTCGTTATTCACGCCTTTTATCTGAATCATCGTCCCTCCGTTTTCAGAAAAAGCAGCAGGCCACATGTGACTGGCGTGACCTTCACCTTTCACCTATCTTTGTGCCTTTCCAGCCTCGCTCTCAGGTCGTTTGCTCATTCTGCGTCCCCTCGGGGGAGAGGGGAATTGGGGAGCAGAGAGATGCATCATGAGCAGGGTTGCGCTGTAGGATAAATTTTATATTTTATATATATCGAAAATAGGAAGGAGGGACGAACAGGATATTTTGGGATATCCTGCACGATTTGCTGTCTTTGAGCTCTGCTGCGGTATCACAAAGGAAAGGGGATGAAGCCTGGGAAAGACGGAGGAAAATACACGCCCACGAAAAACCTGTTTCTTTCTGTCTTTGCCCTGCGCCGAGACTTCTGTCTTCTTGGCGCGCCTTTTCCCTTTCTTTCACTCGTTTTCCAAACTCAGTTCCCATCACAAGTGTGCAACCCGCTAATTTTTATTTTTTGCACTTTTTAGTCAGCAGATACCTTGAGAAGCCTGATAAAACCCTACGAACCATCGTGGGATTGTGTTTTATTTACTTATTTATTCACCTTAATTTTTTCACTCGACTAGGGCGCTCGTGCATTGGATGTTCTTCATGCTCGAGTGTCCGAGTCAAGTGAAAACATGTCGGATTCAAGTGAGAAACAAAGTGGTGTCAATATTCTCAGTTTCTACCTTAGTGATAAGTTTGGCAAATGACGTCTGACACCAATCACGGAGGGTGCGAGTAAGGTCATGGTCTTGAGGTGAATACGTTTTGCAAAGCATCATTGAGGGCGTCGACAACAATGGTGAGCCTTAGTCATAGTGTAACTTTAGGCCTAAGCCCCAACTTCGGCCTACGTACCTTGGGGATCATCAAAGAGTAAGAAAGGAAGGAGAATCGATGCCATCGGCATACTTAGATCGAGCATATCATGGGAGAAATCTATGGTATTGTGGATATTACATCTACAGGAGCCTGTATTATATCTTGATATTAATTTTTAGGGAAAGAACAACAGAAATAAACTGGTCAAGTAAACAGAAATAGATGAGTGAATTTGCTTTCAGAGAACAAATTTTGAAAGGGGAAATGAAAATTGTATCAAAATCTCTTAATTTTCTGATTCATATTCCCATTTTAATTGAAGAGGTGTTCTCAATATTGATCATAGGGCAGATTATCAGAAAATGGGAAAATTCCAATATTGTTAGACAAGATCTCCATTCGAAATTTGCTTCAAGATAATAGCAAGTAGGAGAGAAGCAAATTTGATGAAAATGATGAGTGTTAATATGATCTATGTATAGTCTGTTTAAACATGGAAGTATCAAATCTCTGCCCTGAGCCAGTTCTCAACACAGGTGAGAAGAGCCTAGCTCCAGTGATGATGCTGACCTGTTAAAGGCTGAGGATGGAGGGAGTGGGGATGGAATCTCAAGAAAATCCAAATTGTTTCACCCTAATCCTTTAATCATTTTTAATCCGTTAGGATAAACAACCCAAGGATGGGACTGTCTCAGGCGAGACAGTTCCACCCTTAAAAATCTATCTCCTTTTTGTCCCATTACTCTTCCTCTGAAATGAAATGCTGAGTGCCCCCTTTGCTTATCTAAATCACTCTCAGGTTTGGTTTAACAGGACTACAATTCAAATAATGAACATTCAACTTTGAGAGTTTCCCCTGTTCACAAATTGAGCAACAATAACAATGTTGAGCTATTCATTTTTTAAGTGGACAACACACCACTTCACATTGCTTGGGATGCCAGGACATCTTGCTACTGGACCCCAGAAATGCCAATATGCCAATGATAGCAACATGAATTATAAGGTTTTAAGATATGCAAATTTGAAATTGTGTGGGAACTTTTAAACAACTCTGGAAATCTTGGCAACCCTTGGTGGCATCTGAAATGCAGAACATCCTAACTGCTTATTGTTTCTTTCAGAATGCCTTAAAAACAGTTTTTATAAGTAGGATACAAAGATCCATGGGAACCCAGCTACAAGGAGACAGAAAGTAGCCTGCTGCACGGCAGCCTTTAGTCTCAAGCCAAGCCAAATACACATCAATTCAGATAAGGGCAATCTATGTTCTTAGCATGTTTGGATCTGGACAACATATTGTTGAGGTCTTGCAACAAACTCTAACTTCATACGAAGTCACAGGATCTCCACATGGCCTTGGATGCATGCCATCTTCAAAAAAGTTTATTGCATCTCCTGAAGATACCTGAAGATGAGGAGCAAAAAAATATTCTCCATTAGGAATATTCCAGCTATCAGGAGAAAAACCCCATAGCAATGAAAAATTAAAAAAAGCAGGTAAATAACCTTGTTTGAGGTGGTCAATGAGCATCAGATAGGCCTTCCTCTTCCTCTGGTGCACAACTTCTAGATTGCTGAAGAGGACTAACCCATCTACAAAGACATGCTTTTTAAAATATCACAGGGTCATTTTAAGTAAATCATCTCCTACTTCATAATGGAAACTTCACTTGCAACCTCACCATTTTCAGATAGAGGTAGAACTCTAGATTCTCAGAAACATGTTGGACTTTATCTTGATGTAGAAATTGGATCACCTTCAATAACATCCAGAGGATTAATATCTTCCCCTGATGGTTGGCATCATGCTGACACAGTTATTGATGGGTAGTAGTGTTTCTTGGTGCAGCCTACTAGCATCTATCAGATAATCTTTCTGCTTGACTTGGTTTCAGCCTGGGGGCCATAATTGGGGATTGGTTTGGACCCCATGGATGAACTCCTGTCGTACAAGTGTACACATCATAAATTGTTTGGCATCCATGGGTTCAGCTCCTCAAGTAGTCCCACTCTTCTATCAGGGAGTTTTTAAATGAAACAACTGATATACCCTGCTTGCAAGTGATCTTGAAGACGCTCAAAAGATCTGTATAAAAAAAAAAAGGAAAATTAGAAAACACATGAATGAAACAAAACAAAGCTGGTAACCAATGCTTGAATTAAATACAGAAATGATGCTTTCAATATGTTGCTTTGGGCACAGGTGATTATTGATTATTCCTCTCTGTTCCTTTACCTCTTCGGGCTTCCTCTGAAAGAACTCAACCTTGAAGCTGCTTTTCCATTCTTGAAATTGTTTGCCAGCAAGCCTTCTCTTCTCTGTCTAATTATCTAGGGCAATAATTAGATTGTTCCTGGGTATAGGATTCTATGTATAGACATTACAGTTTCATATATTAAAATACTAGGAGAGGTACCTGGCATTGCTCAGGTAAATATTGTATATGTCCCATATTTGAAGATTTAATATTGTTTTAATGCCTCTTTGGCAAACCTGGCTAGAAATTGTTTAAAATATGTAGCATTTACTACACATCCAATTGGAAAATTACAGTAGCAAGCTACATGTTGCAAGTTGAACGTTTTTATTGAGTCCCAAAAATTTTGACTCCTTGGGGTGTCTGTAGTAGTGGATTGGCCAAATCTGCACTAAACATAAGGTACTGGGGGGGGTCTGAATTTTGAAACGCCGCGTAGCCTATGACATTCCCCGGACCAAATGAGGAAGCCATGCAAAGTTTGGTTGGACTGAGATTAGAGGCATGGCCGTGCATAAAGGCCAGACACACACACACATATACTAACACTCTGAAATATAATAGTATAGATAGATTACTGGTCTATTTTCATCTTTGTTCAGGAACAGGCTTGTAGGCTAAGAGATATATGCTGCATAGCATAAAAGGAGTGCAACTTTAGCTTTTTGGGACTTGCATTCTGAATAAAATCAAAACCAAAATAGTCTGAGTGAAAATCTCATATGGAAAGCAGTATAGGCATACCTTCACTCCAAAATGTCATCTGGCATGGATCAGCCAGTGTGGAATCATTTGAGACCTACCCCAGGAGCAAGCAGGTGTAATGGAGGAGGGTTTTGGATAGGATATAATGAAGCAGTACTTAGAAACATCAAAAACAAAGAAAAATATCAAAACCACTGTTTGATTCCTCTGTACAGTAGGTCTTGGCCTATAACTACACTGTGTTTGGAATTCAATAACCCTCCATAGGTGTGCCTTATTTGCCATCCAGCCATGTTGTGGCTGCTGCTACTTAGTTCATTTCTTATTTTCTCTCAAAAAGTATTAATAGACTTTTGTACCTCCTTTCTCAAAACAGCTTCAAGCAGGGCATGGGCATTGGCCTCATCTAATCCCATATTTATAAGGATAAGAATATAAACTTAATATTAAAAACAGGAATTCAAGAGATCTGCTTTCATTTACTGATCAGCCTTTTAGGGGTTACAGTTAAGTGCATACCCCCTAGGGATATTGTGTTATCCCTTAAGTTAAACCAGGATAAGTTAGGTTGATGTATATTATAAATAAAAGGAATTCCAATGGATGTGGCATGCTTCCAATGGAATTCATCTTGAAACATTGGTGACTGGGTGTGTGAAATTTCTCCGGGGGTACGCGCTTAACCGTTACCCCTATTAGGAATAAAAAGGGGAAAACGCTGGACAGGATAGAGTGCTGAACCGATCTGGTTGGAATCTTAGATGAAGAGCTATTAATCTGCGCTCACAGTGTCACTCCCATCGAGTTTGAAGGAAAGGAATTTTCAAGAGTGAAATGGAAATCCTGCGCTTATGGAGGTCGCCATGTTGATTGTCTGGATGAGGTGAGAAAGAGCGACGCACACGAACGCACAAGGAGACATCTAGCGTGTGACTTTCAGGGCCGGCAGTTGAGGCTTGGCGAAAGAGGTGCCGAGACCGTGCCGGCTTTCCTCCCCCCACTCTTCTAAACTGAAGTTTTACTGATGAGCGATTTCATTAGCCCTCTGCTTAGTCTCTTTTTCATGCTCAACGTTCACCACTCTACTAGTAACACCTACAATCCACCCGTTTTCATTCGCTTCTTTGAGTGTTTTCATTAGAAAACTCTTGACTTTACATAGGTTCGTATCTCAAGAATTTCGCCTTGTTCGGGAGAAAATTTGAATCTGTATCGCTTCTCGGCCTATCGGCTAAGATCAAAGTGTAGTATCTGTTCTAAGTAGCTTAATATCTACTTTGTCCCCCATTGGGGACTTGTATATTAAACTGCTTTTTGCAGGGCGGCGGGATGCTTGGGGCTTGCTCCACTCCCGTCACGGATCGGCCCGGTATTGCAGTACCTCCGGGATCGGTCCTCCTCCCCACGGGGAGGAAACAATTATTTAAATTTGTTTCATAAAGTGGAGGTTGTCTGTGTCGTGGCACGTGTATGGGGGAGGAGTCGTATATGTAATGAAAGTCAGGTGGAAATCCCAAGTCCAGCTTTCAATTCGCCTCGTCCAAACAAGATCCGGCAAAATCGCTTTTCACAGGATAACAATAAATGTAGACGAAAGTGCATGTGGATGCAGTCAATGAGTACGTGATTTTGTTCTGCGTAAATTGGGGGAGGACTGACTTGAGATGAATGCCTCAATCGGAGGTGAGTGAGAATTTGAAGCAGGGTCGGGCAAAAGAAGGTGCGAAGAGAAGGGCCTGCACGTCCTGCGGGCGGGAGACCTTTGTTTATTGAGGAAGACGGCTCCCCAGTGATGCTCGAGTTTTCTTTCGTCGCAGATCCAGGCGGAGTGCTCCTGTCGATGCTCGTGACGAAAAGGTGTTTTTTTTTTTTTTTTTACTTGGTTTAGTGGGCAAATTACAGTTCTAGAAGTCTTGCTGCTGGTGACGCGTATGCTTATGCGTGATTTCGGTTATTTTGTTTTTTTATTCTATAGAAAACCGAATGGATTCAGATGGAACTAAATTTAGTTGATTATCAAAATCAGGGGCTGAATGCGCAATGGTTCCGCGAGAGGCTCTGGCATCCGTGCCTGTTGACAGTTGATGCGAGACTAGAACACCCGCTCCAGTTGATTTATGAAATAGAATTTTCCAAACACATTCCCATGACACATGCAGAGACTGTTTCGTGTATTTGAAGACTCCATGCTCTTGGGGGTGGATGGGGGGGGGGGGGCATTCCTGGGCGGGGATTCAGCCGTGCTTTTCACCCACCGGAAGGCTCACAGAACTGGGAAATATTTATTGGAGAGAATGAGAAGCGACACTGAATGCACCGGTTCCCGTCTGATCACTCAGGTTAAGCAGCGTCGGGCTCGGTTAGTACTTGGATGGGAGACCTCTTGTGAGCATCGAGTGCCGATGGCTTCTCATTTTCTGTTTTTAAGAGGAATAGACGTGAGAATGGCATTTGAGTTCAACTGTGCCGGGCGTGATCCAGATCCGGGTCAGTCTTGATAAGAAAATTAGGAGGTGAATGTAATTCTTAGGGGAAACTGTCAGAATTTACCCACCAGAAATTGGATGGCAACCCATTATATTTAGGACCCAAAACATTACTCTTTGGTTGGAAAACATTTTTTCCGAATTTTGAAGGTAAGCATCCATCTTCTATTCTAGGAGAAAGGCCTGCGGGCCCATTTATTGTCAGCAGTAAGGGAGGTCATTGTACTTGCACTCGTCTGTGTGCTTGTGCATGGGAAGGGTGTGCCTGTGCCCGTGTCTCTCCGAGTCCGCGCATCATCCCTTGACGTATCGAAAGTAATTTGCCCCGCACTAGGTTCTCAATGTGATTTCGTGGGAATTCATGTTCCCTTTGCCAACGGCCATACCACGCTGAACTCGTCCGATCACCGAAGTTAAGCAGCGTCGCGCTCGGTTAGTACTTGGATGGGAGACCGCCTGGGAACACCGAGTGCTGTTGGCTCCTCTATTTTTTATTTTTATTTTTATCTTGACTTGTTGAGTTTACTCGTCTTTTCTTTCTCGATTCGCATAAAGTTTTATTATTATTATTCAAGCTAACCTCATCTTTACATTTTCCGTTCTGTCCACTCTCCATTAGTTCCTAGATTGTTTAATTAAAGCCAAGCTAATCATAGAGTGATACTCGGTGCGGTGACCTGGGTTGTTTGGTGAAAGGTTCTCGGAGAAAACAAATAGTGCCTGAATAAATAGGGTAATAAGATAAGATTGGTCTTTCGATCGTTAAAAAATTGTATATTTTTCCCATGCCCGACCAATTGCGCCCTGTGCTCGTCAAAATATGCAGTTAGCATCAATAATTTTTCAAGTATTTAAGGTCCCTTCATTACTTGCCCCAGCTCTCAAAACACATTTTCCTCAATCTGAATTACATTATCATATGTTAACATTTACAGCATGGTCCTGGGTCGATTAACGCAACCCTTGCTCTTATATTTTGTTTGACTACTGACAAGGTCATTTCGAGACCGTGAACCATTTTGTCGCGCAGTTATTTCATAGCATGGCGACATAAGCGGGGAAAAAACGTACAAAACTTGACATTTTATGTTAAAAAGCTGTAACATGTTTTTCTTAATGATAATGGAGAGAAACACAGTGACGCATGGAGAAGAAAATTCCTCGCGTAAAATCTTGAAATCTTTTCCGCTTCTGCTTTCTTTCCCCTTTCTACCCGTTTCACATTTCCATGTTTTCTCGGGGTACCGGTTGGATCAACCCGTTCCCAGGCGAGATGCGTGGAGATTCAGAAGAACACTCATGTTCTCATGAATGCTCTCATGAATGCTCTCATCCCTTCACTGCGCAACGTGGAGTACCCGGAACGCAGCGCCTGCGCCATCGGTCCTGCCTGTCGTCTGTAACACGATCCTTGTTTATGGTATCTGCTTTCTCCTCTCGGTCAGCCTGACGAGACTTGTTTCTATGGCTGTTGTAATGCATTCTGTGTGTACTACAGAGCAGTGGTTTCAGTGGTGTTGGTGTCACGTTCGTCTGAACACTGCGGTTGGGTTTCTATCTTATTTTTAACCGCAAGAACATGTGGTAATGGCAGTGGTCACGGTTAGGCTCCGGGCACTAACGAGAAAAACAATAAGTCAAGTTGGATTTAGTCTTAAGTCGTGGATTAAATATATTCGCATTGGAAAATAATCGTGACAGAAACACCGAGAACTAAGGTCGCATTAAATCCTCGAGCAGTGACTTGACAGAGTGAAAGGGCAGCACAGTAGATATTATTGAACGGGTCTTAACAGGAAGCAGATGATACGGATTATACTGATTGGGATTCTTTGAACGGTCAGAGTTCTTCCCTTCGGAAAACAAAAAACCATAACATCTTTTTTTTTTTCTTTTCTAAGATACGGCGAAGAAAAACCAAGCGCATAATGACGCTCCAAGAGTGAAGGAAGAAAAGCGCTTGGAGAGATTTCCTTGTCAAGAATAAGATGTTGAACGATTGCAGAACGTGCTTGCCCCGGCCAGGTCTCAGCTGGATGCCTCACCATCTGGCAACACTGACGCTTATCATGAACCCTTACCCGAGAAAGCCACGGACCGGGGGCCAGCGTTTTATGGGTCCTCTTGTTGGCACGTTTCTCCCATCTATCTGTTCTTTTGTTCGCTTGTACGGGTGGGGATGATTAGACTTGCGGCTAGACGGACAGACTTATCGACCGGATTTCATGCGTTTCGTCGGAATGCGCATTTATTATCTCACCCCGCCTTATCGAAAGGAAGTAAGGAGGATGGGGAAATATGGAACACTTTTAATTCCCCATGGTACCAGAGAATAACATTGTAAAATTCGCTACCCGTGGCTGCTAGGACATGGAGAAATGTGTAGCCTCTTGGAAAGGTAAAGATTTCGACAAGACGAATGGTCGGGGCCGCTAACAGACAAGGAAATTCCTGAAGATAAAACTGAGCGTGAACCCTATGCCCTCTTGGAGGCAATTCCCTTCGCACTCACGTTCCTTCCTCCACTCGTTCCTTCACTCGTTCCTTCCTTCACTCGTCGTCCATTCCCCTCGCGCTCGCTTGCTTCATAGGCCGTTTCCCGTTTCTGGTTATGAATCTCTTATCACTGGGGACCTGAAGATTCTTTTCAGAATTAGTCATGCTTTATTTTTAGTATTTTTTTTTTTTTGCCGATGGTGACATTGGGTGGATATCGGTGACGCGAGATAGAAGAGCCCGTTTTCCGTACGCCTGCTGACTGTTCGTTTTCTTTGTGTGCGATTTCATTGGTGTCTCTGAGAGGCGTGAATCGCGCTTACTCGACAGAAGAACTAGTGAAGCTCCTGAAGACGAATTAGATACTAGATCCGAGGGAGGCTTATGAGTGTAATATGCGTGCACGTTCGAGAAGTCTTGACAACCGGATAAGGAGGCCTTTATATTTTTAAGAGAAACAAAAAATTCATCTTTATCTTCATAAACTTGCTGATTCGAGTCCTTCTTCTACCTTTATGTCAAGCCTCAAGGATCTCTGCTGTGAAGGCAGCCTCAGGAAAAGGATAGAAACTGCTATATAATATGGCCCTCGTTAGTGAGGGTTTAACGTTAATCTACGAAGCGACTTTAGATAATCATCGCATCCACGCGGACGAATCACCGTGCTTGCATCATTTCATGCATTGCGTCCTTGATTGCGCTACACGTGGGAGGCGTGCCTCGAACAGATCATGCGCTGGGTTCAAGCTAGCCTCTGCTGCCATTGGTCTTTCCACCATTAGCTGTCCTTCCATTGGTGTGACTCCTGTGGAGCGCATTGTCTATAGCTTGCAGGGACGAGTTCACATACTGCTCAGACTCGCATCATGGAATCGCTATTTTGTGTTCGCAAGCAGCTGCAGCCAGTCTTGCACAATACGTCCCTTGGGTTTGCCCTTGTTTTTTTTCCAAAAATAGGCCTAGACCTAGGTAGTTCGATTTGTGTCGATGCACAGGAGCGGTACGCCTGGACGCAGTTGTTCCATGTTTACTGCCCACTCTCATACCATTATATGACCACCGTCATGTCCCTTAACGGTAGCCGAGGGCCGTGGTGTACTTGGAGCTTCAGTTTCTCAGGGTTCCTTTATCTCTGCTCTACTCGTCTTTTGCATTGCTTCCATTCTGCTATCGGACCCAGAATTAGGCATGCCCATTTAATTATGACATACGTACAGGTCAAAGGTTTTTCATGAGTTTAAGGGACCTCTCATACTATCCGTTCAAGTCATATCAATACAGATGAATTAGATGCCCAGGCTGGGGTATAGGCTAGACTTTGGCCACAACCAAAGACAAAGATAGTTTAGGCTAGTCTTACTGCAGCCATTAGAGGTAGTGAGAGATAAGGAGATAGCCTATGCTGGTACTTGGTTGACTGGGCCAAACAAGCCCCAAATCAAGCCAGGAGAGGTTCATACCGCAGTTCACTCATCAGGGAGCAATTTTCTTTCAGGTCTAAGAATGTCTCAGAGGTCCCAAATTTCATTTGTACATGCACCACTTGCTTATTAGTCCATCACATATGAGCAAAGTCTGGTTTTACCATATGGTAGGTAGGCCATAGGCTACTGATAGATATTCTCTTGCAGGTGAGCAATGCAAGAATTTCAAGGCAGCCTCATATCAGAGAGAACTATAGGTAATCAGAAGGACATAGTTAATATGTGTGCCCATGATGGTCTAGGTTCACCATCCATTATAAGTGTTATGCAGCTAGGAGATAAGCTTATCTATGTGATGAAGAAAGGCAGAGATTCAGTTGTTCTAACTGAGTTTTTTGTTATTCTTCTAGGTACCACAGGCAGCTTGGGACCAATATTACTGGTTTGAATTTGGTGTGGCCATGTCGAGATGCAATTTAGAAGACAATGTCCTCACAGAAGAAAGATTCAGGGAAATCAGAGATAGCATATTGAATGGGATAGAGCATGGGGCACCACAGTGGCTTGCCAGCAGTGAAGAGTTAGAGGAACCTGTCCCAGTTACAGGACCTTTGGTTGTCAGGGGAAATAAATACCCATACACTGCTAAAGACATTCAGTCATACATTCCATCAATTGAAGAAGCTCGGAAGTATGGTTATGCTGTAAGTTGGTTGCATCCTTTTGATGTTCAGCTTGCTATTTCTGCTAAGAAATGGCAGCACATGGCTCTTACAAAATTGCTTAGTTCAGTGAACTGCTCAAAAAGATATGGAACCATGAAATTGTTGGATAGAAAGTGTATAAATAAGCAAAATGATGAATTATTATTAAATAAGGTTCTTCAGCTTCTTGCTTTATTTTGGTTGACTTTGCTGGTGTATGTTTGGCTTCATGAAATAGCCCTACTCATTGTGCACTGTACATTCTATATATCTGACAGATATATAGAATGTACAGTGACAGAGCAGATATATCTGACTAAAGGCTATTTTGAGTCAAGGCCACTTGAGTCTTATGTTCCTAAGTAATGGGTAGTATTCATGTTGGAAATAACCAAATAGGAACATGTTTTATGGCCATAATGGTATCCATCTTGGCTTTTTCTGATGAATAAAAATTGAGACATGAGCAAATATAATGTAGTACTCTTCCTTTGATGTGCATTGTGATTAGCAGTGTGCGTCAAATGCATGACACTCTTATTGACGTGTACAGGTTCTTGCCCATGTAGCTTTGAATAATGCACTGTTGGCAGAACCATTTGACTTACTGTATTATAAACCTTCTAGGCATTTGCGTGCAGCCACCATCAGTACATTGTCTTGAATATTGCAGTTCCTTTCCCTCTTAGCCCTTTCCCTGGTGGTGTCCCATTAGTAGGCCAACATCCTCAAAGTGTTCAGATATCCCTGCCAGGGAAAGGGTTAAGCTTTAACTGAGTAAAAGTCTCATGTCACAAAATATGGACATTATCAATTGCCCCAATGCTTCAAATGCTTCAATCTAGGGGCAGTATCATTAACCCCTCTAGTGTCCAAAACCTCTCCCCCCCCCCTTTTCACACAAGTATCAAGCAATGAGGATCATTGTTGGACACTAGTAGGGTTAATGTAGATGAAAACTAAGCTTACATATGGTTCTTCTTTCTACCTTGATTGTGTTGCTGCTCTGTGCTTATAGCAATAGAAAATATTAAGTGAACATTCCTATTGCAGGAGGTGGACTTCATGGATCGTCACCAGGCTGGTGGACATTCAATAAGCATGCCATTTTATAATGGATTTCCTGAATCAAATGATCAGAAGCCTAAGAAGGGCAGAGGTAGAGGATTCACTACCTCAAGTACTACTTCTGCGTTTAGGCAAACCAGGGAGATCTTTAAGAAGCAATTGAAGGAGGTATGTGTTTGTTAGTGAAGTCTTAAAGTATTCATATTGACAGGCTGGATGTACTATCAAATTTAACTTCATTATGACCACACCTTTTAAGATTGAATAGGCAAAGCACTATTGAACTATTTTTTGCAGCTTGCTTAGAAGGTCTACTGGTAGTTAACAATTGATTGCCAAAAACCTGAAGATGGCTACTTGATCATGAGTAGCCTGCAAGTCTGGGGGAAATTTCATACAAAAGTCAAGAGAAAACTTTTCTTCACCAAAATGTCCTCTAGCCATTCACTGATATACTAGCCAGGGCACTCACAGTCACATTTTGTGCATTTTCTCACCCATTTCTACAGAAGTGAAGAAATTTCTTAGAAAAATGGGAGTTTATGGACTTTAACCCTTTTGCAGGGAGAGTGACACTGACTGATAACAATGTGACTATGAAGGTCTTCAGAACAGTTTGGAACCTTCTGGATGTATTTAAACAAGTCTGTTTCAACTTAGAGATTTGTTATAAACAATCTCCAAAAAGCTGAGAGGAGAGCAAAAATATAATATAATCCTGTATACCACAAATTATTTAATAACCTGTTTTCTTTTGTTATTATAGCAATTTGGAGACACGCACTCCATTACAGCACATGCACAAACTCTCAATGGAGTAACCAACATGGATCATATGGTACCTTCCTATGGAGCAACTGTAAGCAGAAGCAGCAGCTCCAGCAGTACACCAGATGTTGTTGTGGAGGAAGAGGAAATCGAGGATCCATTCCCACCTCTTCAAACTACCGTATGGAATGCAAGCAAGAGGGGTGATTGTCATGCAAGTTCAAAGAAGGCTGCTGCTCCTGACAAAAATGTTAATCAATATGTTAAACATTGGTTGAAAAATACCAAGTGACCTGCATCTGAAACTTCTTTTCCCTCTTCCCCACCTTTACCCTGTCCATTTTCTTTCAAATTTTCCAATTGTGTGCCTGAAGGCTGAATCTCATGACTGATGCCATGACAAAGCAAAAAAATCCCCTGAGACAGATGTCGTCAACCAACAGAAATTTATTGCTGGGGCAGTGGGTCTACCAGCAGAAAATCTGGGTGAATGGTGATTTTGTACAGGAAATGTATTGTGTGGTATGGTATTTGCGCATTCTCATCTATTGTGTGAGTTTGAGCTTATTGATAGAGGAAGCATTGATGATTGTTGCTTCAATTTCTGTCACCTAACTTTGGATATTATCATGGTTGCATTTCTCATTTTTCATTTATGGTTTTGTGTGCTTGTCTGTCATGACAATGAGTTGATGCTTAAACTATTTCTTTTTCCTTTTAGATTCTGCCATTTCATTTCCTGCAGGGTTTAAATACTGTTAGTGACAGCATCTATCAGTGGATAGCAATGTAAGCTATATTTTGTGCCTTTATCCAGGTATTAAACCTGGAATTTTGAAATGTTAGTCTTTCTTGAATTATGATCCTACAAGGTATTGTTGAATAAATCTGAACTTGCTATTGAATTTTCCATTGTGATTCATTTTGTATTGTAGAAAACCATGCCATATTTTAACTCAAGTGTCCGACCCAATCCTGGTATTGGTACCTATATCAGATATGTTGTCAGTCAATTTATTGGTTGTCAGTAAAATTTCAGTGCATTTTGCATCTCTTGTTATTGACCCAGTTTTCATGAGATGAGGTCGACTTGATCTGTCTTCACTTGTGACCTTTTCATTAGCTCAAGAAAATGTGATGATTTAACTTTGGCATATAGACACAGAAAAATTCCCATTCAGATTACTTATAGCAAAACTTGATCCAAGAGGGAAAACTAGATTTTAACCATTTCCCTGGTAGATGAAAATTTAAATCCCCAACCTCCTGGTGGTATTAGTGTCACCTTGATGTCAATATGTGTCAATACCAGGGAAAAGGTTGATAACATTGGATACTTCTAGGCTCCACAGAGTTTCCTTTCATTATGAAGGATGAGCCAATGCATCTTGCTCCTTTCTGTAGATTGGACTAATTTCTTCAGTTGTCACTGAGATTTGAGGAATTCCTTCATGGGAAGTATGTTCCATTGTTGATGGAAGAAGGTAAGGGTGTCATACTGTTCTCAAACCAACGTAAGACTCAGACTGTGTAGTATCTGCATCATATACCATCTGGAGCACAATTATGCTACAAATAATTTTTGCTCCAATTCTGGCCTGTCATGTAATTGGACATTGGCAAGTTTCTCTCCCTGCTTTATGTCTCTTCTTATTACATTATGAACTTACAAGATGTGCCTTTCTGATGTGCCATACCTGTAGTATGCAATAGTTACAATTCATATCTTCATTGATTATCTGATGATACTTCCTTGCCTATTCATGAAGTAACTTCCTTTATTTTTTCTTCACGACAAGACATGGTGTATACCAGCTATCTCACATTATGTCCAGACCATTCAATACTCGGTGAAGGTTCTAAAAGCATTGCTTGACTCCAATTTCATAGAATATTTGTACACTGTCCATTTTCATTCACAATCCTGTGATCCCATGATGGAATGCACCAGGTGATAATGCCAAGGTTGCCGGTTTTTTGTACGTCACGTGAATCCGAGTACAGCGCACAATGTTTCATACTTCTTCCTTTCAAAGTCTGATTTTTCCAAGCACCCATAAAGGTCATTAATCTTGAGGCAATCGGTGATGCTGAGTCCCACTCTCTGGCCCAAGAACACTCCATTCTTCTTCGCCTTTATCGTCTTTCCTCCTTTTCTGGAAATCAATCATGTCCATTACAGATCTGTGCGATGCTAAAAAGTGGTACTCGTCCGTCCGTCCGTGCATATGAACATTTTCGATATGCCTCAAACTTACGAAAAGAAGGAGGGTCCATAGTGCATGACGCTGTGGTAGTCGTACTTATAGGGGTACGTCGTGTTCTCCAGACTTAGCTTTTCGAAGTTGTGCAGGAAGTCTGAAATCAGTCAGCATTTTCTTTTTTAAAATCATACGAGGGGGGACATTGAGGCTACAAAAATATTCCAAATTTTGTTAGTCAGTCCTATCTAACAGGAGAGAAAAATTGGGCTTTGTCTGCAATTGCTACCATCCCTCTCCTCATTGAAAACCCTTGATAACTCTGGATGGAATTTTTTTCTTACCTTTTTTCTTTTTCGTAATGGAAGAAAGTTGTCACAAGTCGGACAGGATAGAAACATATTTTTCTTGATCATTCCGGAGGAAAGTTCCAAAACAAGAAATTAGTATTCAGTTTAAAACACTTGCAGGACTCTCAGTTCAGCATGATATTTTGAAATAATTTTCCAATTTACAACTCGTGCGGCACCCTATATTATTGATACAATGAGGATCGTGGAACTGACTCGGGATGACATTGTCCTTGAGAACCGTGATGTATTCATCCCGATCCCTCCGAGCGTGTTCGTGGAAGAGACCGAGTGCGTGCATGATCTCGTGGACGGCCCTCCCAGGCCCGGTGAAGCACTTCTTGCTCTTCAGCGTCGGCCTTTGCAGTGCCACCACCTGCTGGCCCCCCTTCTTCCCCACGTAGGACCAGCACCTGTAACACAAGTCCGTTATTATTGGATTCAGTGGCGTGCCCAAGGAGGGGAGGGGGGATTATGATCCCCTTGGGGTACATTTTACAGGTTCGATTCCAAAAAAAAAAAAGATTCTTTGGCCGTATATACAGGGTGAATTACCAATTTTTCATATGTCAACCCCCACCTCCCCCACTGGGAATTTCTGGGCACGCTACTGATTGGATTAACATAAAAGGTACCAAATTTACCACATTTGTGAGGTGCTGAGAAAATTGTGCACATTTTGGAAGCAGTCGTGTTCTAACAAACGGATACAGAGTCGCTTAGGCAGTTACAGGATCATTTCTTTGTTTAACCCTCTCCTTACCAACATGTGTGAATAAATGGGCCATTACTTTTAATATCTTGACTCCGAGAACCCGCCATTACCCTCAGTTTACTTCAAAACGCTTCACAAAACGTCCGTTTCAAGTCTTCGCAAAGCGAAGGTTAAAGAAATCAATCTCACTTTTAAAATAAATACTAAATAATAAAAAATAAAAATAACTAATTTATAATTAAAATATAAAAATAAATAATTTATAATTAAAATATAAAAATAATAAATAATTTATAATTAAAATATAAAAATAATAAATAATTTATAATCAAAATAAAATAATAATAATTTAAAAAAATTGTAAGAAGATAATAATTCAATGAATGGAATGGATTTGAACGTGACCCCTCGGGTTCCTTGGGCCAGAAGAGGAGGTAGTCCGCCTGCCCGTCGTAGGGGACGAAGCGGAGGCAGGTCCCGAAGCTCAGCAAGTGGATGGCCGTCATGATGATCTCGTACTCTTGGGGGTCTGCGAAGGAAATAAAAAATTCAATAAAAATATACACTTTTTTTATATATTATTATTTTTTTGTTGTTCTTGGTTGAGCTCACTGTAGAGGTGGCTGATGTGGTAGGGGATGGTCGCGTTCTCCCACTTTCGGGTCGGGAAAATGTCCCAGCGCAGGCCCAGTCGCCACAAGGAGAAAAGCTGAAATTTCGGTCGTTTTGCAATTTTAGTGGCTGCAAATCTCATTTTGCAATTTGCCAAGTCGGTCGTCGCCGACGGGTCGGACCTAATTATAGTGAAAACAGTTTTTGTCGGCGTAATTAGCTGGAAATCTGCCTCGTCATCACGGCGGATGGAATCATTTACTCTGTGTGGTCTGGACGTGACTTGCATATTTATTATATTATATAATTATTATATTCTCGTAGAAGATATAGGTGTTATGCCTGCAGATGCCTCAGGTTTTTATGCGTCTGCTGTCCAAGGTCGAAGGCAAATTCGGTCAGACGACTTAATTGCTACTTCGCGTGATTCGCTGCTCTCGGACCTCCCCATTTTATTATAATATTATAATATAATATAATAGGATATAACTGTTGTTAATAGATAGGGACTTCCCTAAAACACTCACGATGGGCTGCGAAGCGGCGATGTCACCTTCGATCAGGGCCGGGGTCACCTCCGGGTCTTCCTTCCGGAGTTGTTTCCGGAACGCCTTCAGTACGCTGCCGATTCCCGTCTCGTCCTCCATTATCTCTGCTCACATGATTTATAGGTTTTTCCGAGTTAAATAACTCGCGTCCGCATTTCGATTCGCAAGGTAAAAATGTGCAAATTTGCATTTGCGTTTGGACGCGACCTCACTTTTGCGGAAATCGTCGCCGCATCGGGAAAATCAAATGAGGGTTGAGCATGAAACTCCATTTCAAACATGGGGATGTATGGCGGGCGACATTTTTCAGGTGACAGAGACTCGTGATTCTTGAGGGGGAAAAAAAAAAGAAAAAAAAGAAAAAAAAAGAAGCTAGCTCGATTCAGGAACGGGGAGTGCCGAACGAGCGTAACGGAAATGCAAATTTTCTCCTGGCACGACCGAGAAACTGTCGCATTTTACTTTCACATTGCCTGACTTATGAAACAGATATCGTTTTGGAACGGCTACGTTGCAGTGCTGAATGCCTATTGACTTCGTTTTCTCGCAAGAAAAGTTCTATTTAATGCTAAAAAAAATATAGCGTGGACTTTATAACAGAAAACTATCTGATAATGAAGCTTAATTTTCAGGAAATACTGTATAATATATTTTCCACGAAATCAAGCCGCATCATCGGATATTTCTCTGTTAAAAAATTCCACATTCGCCACGAAAAGCTACGGACAGATTCGAATAACGAGCGGAGTTGAACTCTCTCAATGGGAAAAGAAATTCGTGGTCTTTCCATTAAGTTGCGGTTCATTCCGTGAGCAGACGATAAAATTTCTCGAGAGACCAGAGCAGACGACCGATTCCGATGACGTCAGCGCAGTTAAACGACCCGATTGGTCGCCTCTCGCTTCCGATCGAACCAATCAAATCCTCTCGCGTCATCATCGCGCTCGACGGAAGTCGTTCACTCTCAGGCGGAGGGCAGCGAGGGACTCACCGTTTGTTTCGGGGCGGGGGATGGTCCTGCTCCCGGTGTGGTCGACGCGGGCCAGCCATAAGACGATGCAGATGAGGCGGAATCCGTTCTCTCGCCTCATGCCTTTTTTTAACCAGTTTTGCGGGGGCCGGTGATGCCGTGATCAGACGACAAACGACTCTGGATCGTCTGCTCGTATCTTCGCGGTGATCGTCACTCGGACGGACGTTGACTTTTGACCTCTCCCAGCGCCCTTTCGATGTTGTCCCGCACAGATGACTATCGGTTGCATGACGTCACTTTCCCTGGAGTTTAATATTTATGGGGGTGCCACATTTCACTCGCCACTTTCGACCGAGTCTGCGTTTCACAGATTTTGCGGAATCCCTGCAGAATGTCTGCACGGACCTCCTGGCACCTGGAAGCTTCAAGACACTCTCGTGATTTTTTCAGCTTTCGTAGACTTAAGAAGCTCGGAAAGCCCCCTCCCCCCCCCCCATTTAAAAACAATGCGGGGCTGTGGAAAGCCGACCAAATAAGGGAAACACCTTGACGGATGAACCCTGGAATGACCGGAGATAACGCATCCCACGCGTCGCATGGATTAAGTCTGTTTCCTCGTTTCTTCTCGGATTTACAAACAGCTCTTTAAAATGTACTTCGTGTCGGTCGGCGAGATTAGATCTGGCGCATCGTTAAGCGGCCGAGCCGAGACAGGATTCCATTCGAGACCCGCTCACAGTTGGCCACAGGTGGCCACAGGTGGCCACAGTTTCACGCTCGTTAGAGAATCGACGCTTCGGAGCTCATCCGTTTCCATCTGCACGAAAGGTTTAATCTCTTGGGGAAAAAAAAGGAGAGACAAGCGTTTTGGGTGTTTTGAATTGGATTTCTTCCCTCACTATTAGGAGTTAATTGCTAATTTTTGGCAAAAATCTTCCATTTTGAAAGAGATCCGACATGATTTCCCGAAGAAATGCGGTCAGGCCGAGTAATGTCACAGAAAGTCGCCATTGACGTGCGAACGACCCTCATGAGATTTTCTCCAGATTTTTCTGGTAGTCCACACCAATTGCATCACACCACAAGTGTGTGTGTGTGTCTGTGTCTGTCTGTCTGTGTGTGTGTCTGTGCACTCTGCTTCTGCTTTTCCATGTAGTTAATTAGAATTTTTCTTGAGCGATTTTCAGCTCCAGCTGAAAGACCATTGAGTGGCCGAGAGAAATGCTCCTGTGACAAAATTTCGCGATGGCCGAAGGAAAAAAAAATTGCACTTTTCACGTAATGAGAACAGAAAACGACAGAACAGCAGTGCCATCTAGGCTTTTTTTTTGGAACCACATTTCGCATTGCCGCAATTTTCCCCCAACCGACTGGATTTCCATTATCGAATATCCCCACGATATCGTGATGATCGATCGAATCATTAATGCACGACTGGCTTCCCGATCCAATTGCCATGTCGAGATCCCCGAGAGAATGAGCTAATCGAGTCGAGAAAGCGAGAGATCCCGATTATGCCTTTTTTTTCATGCAAGCCCACCGAAGTCCTTTTGTGGGTTTGGAAGCACAAAATCACGTAAAATACATAATATAAATTATTAGGGCCGTACCGATGTATCGGCTAGCACCGGTATCGGCCGGCTGCACTATCGGCGCCATCGGCACGTTTGCAGGCTGCCGATGCCGATGTTTAGAGGAAAGGCAAAATTTATGGGGAAAAAATTAGAGCGAACGTGTGAACCCAAAAAATATTGGTCGGATTACATTTCAGCCCTTTTCCAGAAACTAGTGGAGGAAAATAGCGGTGAAAAAAAAAAGGAAATCCTTGCATCGCCTTTTATGTTATGAGATGTGTCGTTAAACGCTCGTGATAGTAGCGATTGGTAAGGAGCTAACCACTGACGGACACAGACAGACAGTACCAAATATGGTTACTTCTCAATTTTCAGACGACCATTGTCCGACCGGCCTAACGTGGCCATCGGTACAGCCCTATAAATTATATAAGATAAAAAAAAGTCTCGTCTCGTCGTATTTGGTCTCGTGCCAAAAACCGTTTGTCGTTAGAACTCGGAGTTTCTCGGTCTCGCCGTGATACCGCACCGCGGGAACACGTATCAGTTGCAATTATCACTGACGAAGCAGAAAAATTGTCGGGCCGACCGGCTCCAAGGATGGGGGTCGGTCCGACAACCGGGCCTTAGCAACCCCCTATCTCGAGCACCATCTATCCGGCAGCAAGCGACGCGTGCTCGAAGGCAAAAAAAAAAAAAAATTTGATTGATGAGACGGTGGAAGACGCGCATTCAAAGGGGGGCAATATATTAAAGTGATCTCCGGTGGTCTACTCGGGTGCGGAGGGTTCATGGCATGCTTCCGTATTATCAGATGGACAGCGTATCTCAGTCACCTGAAAGAGACCTTTGAATCAATCATCTGTGAAATGCTGGGTTCTTTGCTTCTGAATTGCCCTACCCTTCTTCATCATCATAGATACCATCACGAGGCTCCCAATCGGGGAATTTTTCCTCCCTCACCCCTCCCCCCCCCCCCCCCCCCCCCCCCGCCCCCCCCCCCCTCCC